TCAGCTTAGAATCTTTGTTTAATTGACAGTTCTACGATTCCACAACCTACACCATGGGCCTTGCGTACGTGTCGTCACATAGAGAGTACAGTCCTTAATATAAATTAGCTATTGTTATAGTATTAATAGCTAATATTCTATTCCTTTTTTTATACCTACTACCCCACTTGTTCTATACCCTCCTAAAACACAAAAAAGGTATATTATGGAATAGATTATCCTGTTTGTAACTACTATAATAGTAACCCTTATTTCTATGGTATTACAGTTATAATAGTCTGATTAATCGAAGGGTGGATTTGAGGGTTGCCATAGCACAGACCACGTCTCTTAGTTCCTGGAATACTCCATCTAGTAAAGTAGCAGGAAACCATTTCGTGAAAAGACGCTGCTAGCGCAGAGTACGCAGTGAATGAGGCAACGGAGAATAGAGGTCGTAGTCGTAGGAGTGGATTAGGGGTCTTGGGAAGTGAAAGGCCGTGAGTACAGAGTGGGAGTAGCATCTAGTCTTCTTATTCAGACAGGGTGGAGCCTGATATACCAACTATCCATCGGAATTTCCTGAATTCAAATCTAGACCGCCATTTGATCCTACTTAAACCACGTTTTCGTATCATTCAAAAATAGAGATCTACCACTCTTCACAAGTTGACCCAAAAGACATGAGCGGAAATGCAAGGGAGGATAAATGCGAAATTGAAATAGGGAAGTACAATGACAGGGGTACCGAGAATGGGTGTGGAAGTGCTGGATGTGGTGCTGAAGAGGTTGAGGGGGGATTTGTACATATTAATGGACATAGAAAACATGGATCTGGACCGTGATTTGGTACCTTTTTTCCGGATCTTTTGTTGTGGAGTTGTGCTGGTAAGGTGATTATGGGCAGCGAATTGCTGTGGTCGTTGTGGGTATAGGTGTTTTTGTCGTTGTTTTGCGGAAATATTCATCCTTGAATATTTTGAAACAGACTACAAGTCTTGAAGTCGTCTATCACTGTTCCATGTTTTATTATTAATTTAGGTTGGCATCCAAGAGGCAAGCGAAAATTAAGGAAAATGGAAAGTGGGATAGATGCACAAACGTAACTAAACTCCCAGCAAATGTCGAAAGTGGAGTAATTATACGTTACTCATATATTCATATGATCTGCCGGTTTATAATAGTGAATGATTATTGGCTAGCTCAGAGCGTAGCTACTCCTTCGGGACTAGCGTACTATGGCATCTATAAATACGTAGGGAATTGCTAGCTACACTTGCTTCGGCATGCAACCAAAGACTTAGTTACTACCCTTAGTAATATAGGTCTTTTTAATCACTCACTTGACTGAGTAAGTCAAATCAACATGATCATTTTGATACTAATTTCTGTACAAAACTGTTTCATTTATTTTCCCAGAGAAAAGTTCAAGGTTGTTTACTCTAAGCCCGACACTTCATCCTCAGTGTCTAGCACTGAGAAGCTTCTCGCAAAAGCTGTAGGCAACAACGTTCCCTCTTCAGCATTCTTTTCTGCCTTCTTCAAGTCATCCTCTCCACACACCCCTGTTAACACGAGTAGCGTGCCTCCCAAACCACCTTCAACTCCAAATCTGATATCCGTATCTAGCCTGTCGCCCACCATACAAGTGCGCCGCAAGTTCAAATCATATCGCTTCTTCACAACCTCCATCATCAGTTGACTCGGTTTTCCCATTACACGTGGCTTCACATCAAGCGTATGTGATAAAGCCGCACTGATGAACCCCGCGGCAGGAAAGACGGTGTCGAAAATTGGGAATGTAGAATCAGTATTGGTTGCTATGAAGAGAGCGCCGTTGCGGATATAGTGCATTGCGTGGCAAAGCTTGAGGTAGTTAAACTTCAAGTCCATGCCAACCACCACTGCACCAACATCTGAATGCAGCGGTGTTCCGGTAGCGATCTTTTCGAAGTGACCCAGGACTACTTCTTCTGAGAAATATGCATCGGTGCTAGGATCGATCACTGAAAGACCTGCCTCTGAAAGCTCAGAGACGATTGCCGGATTTCCGATCACAAAAACGCTTTTTTGTGTTTGAGATCGCTGGTTGAGAATTTGAGAGAGATAGATTGCGGTGCAGTATCCCGAAGTGAAGATCTGCTCTATACTGCAAGAAATTCCGAATTTTTGTAGTTGAGCAAGTTGGTGGCTACGGGATTCTGTGGAATTGTTGGTCACGAAAATCATTCTCTTTCCTTGTTTGGTGTTGTTAACTAAGATGCACCATGTTCGGTTACTTGGACATACCAGCGTTTTCCAACGATTGAATTGTTTTTGCCACCCCTAGGATAGCTTCATTTCCGGACCAGATTACCCCTAAATCTTTCGTTAGTCGCATGTGGAATTTGACTACTTGTGCGTAATTCAATACCGTCGCAATCTAGGAGAAATGTCTGATTATAAATAAGCATGAGCAAATTGTTTCGTATACAGTACTAACAATGGGAGACATACGTCGTAATCTGCAATGAACCTTTCAGTTTCTCCAGTACGCTCTGTAAGGCACGGAGGTAGCATGTTGGACTGGTTGAGCTTTTTCCGTTCTTCAAAATAAAAATGTTCTCCCTCACTTTGACAAGCAGTTATTCGGCTGCTGTGTCGCTTGGTGGGACCTGAGGGCGTTCTCGTAGAAGCTCTTACCTTATTTAATGCATGGGCTTCCGAATATTCGGACCGGGCGGACCGCACGATTAAGTCTTTCTTATTTTCATTTTCATTTTCATCTTCTTTAAAAGTGAATATCTGTGTCCCTCAGTGCTGTTCACTTCAAACCCGACCCAAGATAATCAATGTGGCGTCCTAGAGTCACGTCCAGTGTAACCTTTGTTTTTCAATTGCCCAGTCTCAAATAATGTATGTGGTTTAAGTAAATGAGGAAAGGACTACTAAGGGCTGCTTACACCTCCTCGATCGCCACATTATTGTACGCCTCTTCATGTACTATTATCTTAGGTGTTTTACCGACTCTCACATTTTCGCTTACAACAAGGCTTAAAATGTAATCGTAACTTTGCGATATGGCTAATGAAGGACTTTTGTATTGTGATGGAAATTGACCCCTGCGATTTAAGTTGGAGGATCTAGTTACGAAGAAAAAAAGTCATGCGTATCCACTATGCCCTCAGAACTACCATGTAATCCACTTTCCTCATAAATCTAAATGTCGGATCAGAAAGTATTATAAAGCAGATATTTCGCTCCAGGCCTCAGGGTGGAGTCACGGTGCAACTAGAGATAGGACTTACATCTGGGAAAGTAGCTTGATTGTTGAGGAACCACATTTCGTCGACCTTCTCTGAAACGGGGAGCACAATCTCAGTTCCAGCTGGGACATTGGAGATGCTCCTGTTAGCGATGATACTTAACTGGTTTATCTCGTCGAAGATATTGAAGCTTCCATTGGGGCAGCTTATGGTCAGGCGAGCGTATATTCCACAAGCAATGCCAACTTTTGTTCGGAATATCAAGTGTCAGCACCTCTTCCCAAAAGGGTGGAATACATAGTGGAGAAAATTACCCACGGGGTACTTACGGTAAGCTAGTTCGTGCTTGGAGCTCCAGCACGCTGTCGTGTCTAGGAAGACAATGCCAAAACCGACAGCAGGAAGGTGAAGAAGGGCCCTAGAAATTACCCATATAGAATCAGTATATGAAAACAAGTAAAAAGTGCGAAATCAATCGCTACAATTGACGAGGGGTAACATCCTTACCATTCCGACTTTTGGTCATTCGGCGAGGCAAGCTGCGCAAGACCAAGAATTTGTTTTGAGATGCTCAGGCATATTGTTCGACTACTCGCTATGTTTCGTGAATATTGAGTCTCCAACTCCGCCGGCATGACCACTTCAAAGATGGCCCAGCGATGGATTGCCAACATGACTTCGCAGAACTTCAGTGTGATATCCCATGAAATGCTACTATGTCTTTTCAAAACTTGATCGGAAAACTCCTCGATTGGATTCTGAATTGGACGGTACTCTGATGGAATCAGAGATTCCCAGTTCAAAACTGCATGATGCAATCGTTTTATGTGGGTCAGAGATTCGGACAGGTTTCTATCTCGGTATCCTCCATACAAAGTTTTGGAGACGGACCTGCAGAGAATAGCGTATTTTATGTGTACGGTCATCCAGTCGCTTTTGGAGTTCATTAAATGAGATTCTTCCATGTTGTGTCTTTTTTGCAGAGGAGAATCTAAAACCTCTTCGTCTATCGTCTGTGATAGGAGGCAGCTGTAAGCTTCAAGTCTCTCACCTGCGGAGTCTGAAAATTACAACAAGAAATGTGAACTTACCGACGGTAGTCCATGTCTGAGTAAAAATGGCTTCTCGATAAGATATATAAGTCGATGCATCAGATTAGTTTTTTCAAAATCTTCATTTTTTGAATTGTCGCTTGTCCAGCTTTCTTGACTAAGTCTTAAAGAACGGATGGATTCTAAAGCCTCAGACAACAGCGATTTTGTGAGGTCAACCTCGTTGCGAGAGTGACAGAAAAGTAGCTAAGGCTGAAATTAGCATACATCACTTTCCTAGCATGCCATCTTAACTTACCATGGTAAGCAACGCCTGCCAGCACAAGTTAGCGAGACTGAATAAGAGAACGCAATTTTGAACTGATGATGTCTACCTGTAATTTTACTCTCGAATGAAGTCCATTGGACAGGTAGGGGCGGTAGTACAACGCTGTATGGAAATACTGGGTCATGTTTCGAGCTAGAGCGGACTCAGAATTTGACACGACCGAGAGTCTTTTGACGTAGAGGTCATTTCCCAAGGCCAGTATTGCATTAGCTAGGGCGAGGAAAGACGGCTCTACGAGCGTGGGGGATATTGTGAAATCTGCAAATGAGCGATCGAAATCGGCGCGCTGAAGGTAGGGGCGAAAGCTGTTTTTCACAGCTGCATTAGTCATGTTACAATATCAGAGGCATCAATTGGAAGAAAAAACTTCAGAGCAGCTCGAATTGGAGATTCTTTATTCTTACTAGTATGTTTCGTCAAAGAATGCTACATAAAGCAAAAGTTAGCTCATTTAAATTTATCTCACGCATTTCGTTTTTACATTCAGAAAGAACTCGAGAGTCAAGTAATTTGTAACTTACCATCTATGAATAACCTGGTTGTTCTTGGAGAATATAGAAATGTATGCTCTTTTCCATTTAGTGGAAGCTTGATATCCGACGAAGGCTCCGTTAGCGAATTTTGAATTTTAGATACAAGTCGCGCTGATATCTGAGCACCATTCTTCCTTAGATCTTGATTCTTGATATATTTGTCCATGTGGCCTGGTAGACAAGAAAGTGGTGATAAGCTATTGCAGTTCTCTGTCCGTGTAAACCAAGCTTAGCAGATTGAAATAGTATATAAATGAGAAGGAGGGGCTATTGAATAACACACATACGAAACACTAGCATAGACCACTTTTGATTAGCAATTACAGAATCTGGAACTGGAATTGGCAGAGTATCCGCTGTGTGTTGCTCCAGATATGAGGAGGGCGAAGGAAGGTTATGTGTACTTTGCTGACCCTCGGCACCCATATCGAAGGAGTTCTGGATGCTGGATAGAAGCGGTTCTGACCTAATTGGCGCATTAAATTATTGAATATAGTTACAGTACGGCGTAGGTAGATATTACAGATTATAGTTGTAACTGCCATGTTCAGGAACGTGTAATTGGTTGATTTCACCTCGCTTCTCCTTTGCCTGCGTTGTTTCTGTGTAGTGACAGGAGAGGTTGGATTTCTATCTTCCTTCAGTAAAATTCCTTCCCCTTTGAATTCAAGGATGTACCTTGCATTGTATACACTCTACCTCGCCATTACCTGGAGTAAACAGAGACTTCGGTTAGCATATTGATCCTGAATGCCTGGTTCATCTATCACTTTCGGATAATGAGAGAATAACAGATGGCAAGATTTTGGTGCGGATAGAAATGTATACTAACAGCGAGTCTTTCGCTTCTTGCAGTTCCCACAAGCCCCTTTCCGCCTCGTTATTCTTTGTTGACCCATCTGGTTGCCCACACCGTCGGATGTCATAGCCTAGGTGGCCAACGTCTCGACTTAGTAAGATTAAGCTAGAAAGAATCAGAAAATCCTCCACAGTCGAGGAAAAGAATATCGGTAACAAAAAGCTGCGGTGCCGCAGCAGTTCTTTTGCTAAGACTTTGAAAGATTGTGCCAACAAAATGCGGGGCAAATTCAGGCGGAGATACTAAACTACTGCAAAAATGAAAAGAAACTGCTACAAACGAGAATTTACACCGTAGAAATGACGAATGGTCGTATCCTCGGAGTCGTAACTGGAAGCGGTCATATGTCGGCCACATCCTTGTAGTTGAGCCTACACAGGAGCCTCGGCTCCCCAACCTCCCCTAGGAAGGTGCTCCAGGTGCTACGCTAAAAGAGATTTTAAAAGGAGAAGTCAATTTGGATAGATCACGCTCGTTCTAGTTACTGTACCATGGAGCAGTGCTTGACTTGAACGCAAAACAGCCGGAGAGTACGGAAACATTGAGCTCCACACTCGACCAGGTTTCACTGTTGCAGTAAGAATTTAGACGTATGTGAAGCTACACAAAAATACAGTGTATAGTATCTAGGTTGTAGGAAATTTGGATACTTCCTGTCTAGATCATCCCAAGTTGATTACTATGTAGAACCCAGCGATACAACGTCCCCCGGAAGCAGGTTGGCCGTCTGTGTATTATTGGCTGCACTGCAATACGATATGTGCATGATATTGCATCCAAATCTCACTCAAGCACCACCATTCCTGCCGTTCTGACGTTGCCACGTTGGAAAATATCTCCGAAGGACGGAGGGGGTAGTACAACGTTCTCGCCACCCCGCCTTACCGTAGTAAATCGTCCTTAAGGAGGATTCAGGGGGGAGTGGTGGATATGCCTCGTATGCTTACTACAGGGTACCGTAGCAGAAGTTGGGAGATCACCTTTAAGCCACTCAGAGATCAACTTTCTATGGGTCTCCACGTAGAAAAGACCAACTTCATCTTCTACACCAAAGAAAAAGGCCTTCGTCACAAAATATTAGCCACCCTAAGTGGCTCGGAGCATACCAGACATATCCACCACTCCCCCCTCCATCCTCCATAAGCACGATTTACCACGGTATTCCCCACTCGGATCATGTGATCGGACATACCCTTCCTACTTCATACGAAGTACATATCGAGTTGGTGCCTGTGAATAATATGTAGCGGGCAAGTGTATGAACTACAAAAGTACGCCTGAGGCTGCATTTTGTGGACTCTCGGTAGAGGCAGGGGTAGATCCGGAAGCGGGGAAACGCGAATTGAAGTAAACATTTTCTTTTCCTCTTCCTGTTTAAGGTTAAATGATAACGACCAGTAAGCTCAAGGTTGGATTCTTCCTGGTGATGTCGTCAGCGTGGCAAAAACAGCTTGTAAGCGCTAAACCCTTCTAGAGAGATTCACGTCTCATGCTTTTGTGCCAAGTATTATGAAGCTCATCAGCGCAGAGCCTCAACAGACCATCAATTTCAAAGACGGGTCTGTGGAGTAATCATTTTTTCAGGAAGCTCCTGATATGACTGACGTGTTGCAGTAAGATGGTATTTGTTTCGTTGTCAGTGAAGCTCATTTGTAACACCAGTCTTATATAGTTAGCCCATTATCCTGTATTAATGTCACTTTACCGCTTCATGACGCGCCATGCAATGTCCGTGTTATTTCCAAAAATTCTACCCTATATTCCAAAGTAAAGTGCGAAGTAAACGCGTACCGTCTCGTGCCTATTATAGGCTTTGCTCAGTGCTTCATAGCTGCCAGAGTTATGTAGTTTGAGTGCAATTGATCAATAAAAGTTGACAAGGACCTGTGAGGAGCAAAAAAACCTTTATGTTCTGATTTCATATCGCTTGAGAGTGTGAAAACTATTTATTAGCTTCTATCTAAACAAATTTCTACCAATCTAGTGGATCCTTCTTGCCAAAGGATCCTCCTTTCACCATGGTATCTTTTAAGAGAGGCAGAGATTGAAGCCAAGGCGTTTCTCCTTTCACTCGGCCTTCAAACATTTCAATAGCCTCTTTGAACTGTAGGGTGTTTGAGATGCTATCGAAACCCGAGAGCAAAGCTTTGCGGTAGTGTTCTTCGACCAAAAAGGTCCCAAGAAGAGTCTTATTTTCACCTCGATAGATCTTTTGTGTCAATAAATCCACTACAATCTCTCGACATGCTTCCGCTTCAACAACCAATTCTCGGAGAAGAGAGGATGAGGTGATTCGGACTGGCAGTAGGCCAGTCTGAAATGAGTTGTTATAGAAAATATCACCAAAGCTGGGTGCCAGTACGCAGCGAAACCCCCAGCTCTGTAAAGCCCAGACTGCATGCTCTCGCGAGCTACCACACCCAAAGTTCTCTCCTGTTACGAGAAGGATACTTGCCCCAGTGTATTGAGGTTTATTCAAGGCGAAACTAGGATCTTCTTCTGGTCCGCCACTACGACTGGGGTGTCGCAGATAATAGAATAGGCCTTTATCAAAGCCATCGCGGCCGACGGCTTTAAGAAATTGCTTGGGGATAATGCAGTCTGTATCTACATTGGACCTGTTGAGGGGTACCATCATTCCCTTCCAATCGTGAAACTTTTGACTTGAGCTGATTGGTTGAGATTCCCTGGTAGATATTCTGGAAAACCCTTCTGCGAGTGGCTTAGGGGCGTTATTCTCAAGTGACATGCCCACGCCACTCGCTTCTGTGTCGCTAATCTCTGGCACTATTGGGAGTATTATTTCCGCAGTATGAAGTAACACAGGTCTGGAAGGCCCCTGTGGAAGCAATCGCGCATCGGTCAGACTTCCCTGGATTGCAGCAGCGGCTGCCATCACTGGGGACATGAGATGAGTTCTTCCACCTGCACCTTGCCTATCCTCAAAATTTCTGTTGCTAGTGCTCGCACATCTTTCAGTTGGGAGAAGCATGTCTTCATTCAAGCCGACACATAAGCTACATCCCGCCTCTCGCCATTCAAACCCCGCTCTTTTGAATATGAGATCGAGTCCTTCTCGTTCCGCGGCCGCCTTCACAAGTCCAGAACCAGGCACGGCCAAGGCTAATTTGATTCCGGGCGCGACATATGCACCCTGAAGAATTCGAGCGGCGGCACGAAGATCCTCGAGTCTCGCATTGGTACAAGAGCCAATGAAGACTTTATCAATCTTGATGTCGTGCATAGCGGTCCCTGGCTGGAGATTCATGTACTCCAAGGCCCGAATGTGAGCTTCCCGTGCCCTGGTATCCATATTTTGCGATATATGAGGAACGACGTCGGTGATGGATACTACCTGGTCAGGCGAGGTACCCCAGGTAACATGAGGGGTAATGTCCGTGGCATCGATTTGAACGACTTCATCGAATCTAGCGTCCGGGTCAGATTTGAATGTTGACCAATAGTATGCTGCTCTTTCCCATTCGACAGGATCCTTAGAAACAAGTGGCCGTCCTTTGAGGTATTCTAGCGTGGTTTGATCTGGAGAAATGAGTCCAGCTTTCGCTCCGGCCTCGACACTCATGTTGCATAGACTCATGCGACTCTCCATACTAAGACTTCGGATCGTACTTCCGGAAAACTCGATGACCATACCAGTACCTCCTGCAGCGCTGATGGTTTTGATCGTATAGAGTATGATGTCTTTGGAAGTGACGCATGATGACAATTGCCCCTCTACTTGAACCTTCATATTTTTGAGTCGAGTACTGATTAGAGTCTGTGTTGCCAGAACATGCTCAACCTCACTTGTCCCTATTCCAAATGCAAGAGCTCCAAAAGCACCATGTGTGCTTGTGTGGCTATCCCCACAAACAATTGTCATACCAGGTAACGTAAATCCCAATTCAGGCCCAATGACATGCACAATACCCTGGTTTGCGCTGTTCAAGCCAAAGTACCGGATTCCATGCTTTTTAGCATTCTGCTCTAGGGTTCGGCATTGAAGGCGTGATTGACCATCCCGCATGTATGAGTTTTCATCCAAATCCTTGCGAGACGTAGTAGGTACGTTGTGATCTGACGTAGCCAGTGTAAGATCTGCTCGACGAACGTGGCGGCGATTTATCCGTAGACTTTCGAAGGCTTGCTATGATGTGATTGATATCAGCTTATGTGGATCTTCTACATTAGGAGTTTCTTTTAGTAAAACTTACTGGTGACGTGACCTCGTGGATAAGATGACGGTCTGAGAATGTAAGCCTGTGCTTACTTCCGATTTACAGGGGGATATTATCTGACCAATGTAAAGCAGCGCATTGCCGTTCGCATTCATTGAAACAATGTGAGAGTCAAAGATCTTCTCATACAAAGTCTTGGAAATCTTCTGTTGACCCATGCTAACGAGTAATTTCAGTGGCCAGAGTGACTTGGATGATTTTGCTTTCCCAGAGAATCACATTTGGCTAGTGTTGAGAAATAAATACATATGTGTCTTAGAACAATCTAAGCCTATCATATAGCTTCAAGGTACGGTCCGGTCAGTGTAGCATGTCGGAAATCTTCATATCCGTCAGGTGCGACGTAAGGTTTTCGTAGCCGACCACTCGGACGACCCTCGCGGGTTATTTCTTTCCGCTGTGTGGGCAATCGAAAGTGTTGTCTGGCATCAAATGAGGTGTACATGTATGTGTATGCATCTTATTTACTCGAGAATTCTGGATAATGAGGCTGAAAAATGGGGGTGCTCGAGTTTAGGAGTAATGAAGCTACGTACAGTAAACAACAGCTCTCTTTCTGTAATAATCAATAGTGATATTAGTTAGCTAGTATACAATTTAGTGGACCCAGATCTAAGCATCCTTTGTATTCTATATTAGGATCTCATGCATACTATATAAGATTCTAACTACGTAACCAAAATGACCTCATATAGTTGAAATTCTATAGTTAAAGAACAAAAAAGTGTGATTTTAGTCACGTAACCCGACTGTATTCAGTGGAAGAGCTCAATTATAGATAGTCTCGTGTGTAAATTGGACATCCCTTAACCCGAACATAAATTTATTGACAATTCATATAATTACCACTATAAAAATCAAGGAAACATATAGCTATCAAATGATTTCGACTTCAAATGCGGATCTCACAAATTCTCCAAGTGTCCTTACCTGCCTTCTACCCTCTGCTCCTACGGACCTAGATATAACCAGGAAATACGCAATAAACGGCCATTTCCCAGTTGCTACTGGGTCCTCAATTATGTCCCCTGTCTTCATCAAAATCTTGTAACTCAATATATGGCTCATCAATTCTTTGTGAAGAGGTTTTGCCGATACAAACGTGCCTCCACGAGTTACCGGAATGAAAACAATGTTTGTGGGAAATTGAACATGTGGTGGAAATGGATAAGTAAGTGCATGTAGCCTCTGACTCTCGGGATTTTTGTTGTTTTCCCCATGCATGTATGCCAGTGATAAATGTGGGGAGACAGCCAAGAGCGTGTAGAGTGCATAATAGTCGATCCCGTATGTGAATTCAACCGCGAATGATTCTTGGTGTCCTGGCGTTCTTGCGTTGATTTCAATGAAAAAAATAGTAGGTTCGGAAAGTGGCGTGGAAGATTGGCGATATGGAAGTCTTGTTAGCTCCAAGTCCCCTTGTTGATGTTCATATCTCATCGAGCTATTTTGAATTCGTGCCTCGATATGGAACACTCCGTTTCTCAATCCAAGTTTCATCAAAGCCTCGGACAAAACGGATTTTAACAAAAAGAGCTCTGATTGAGGGAGAATAGAGGGCATAATGGTTGATGTTTCTGCAAATGAAGACGAATCTGTTCTATGGCGCTCCGCAAATGAAGGAAAATCATCGTTAGTCTCGTTGAAAATGATTTCTCCATTCAATAGTACAATGTTTGCGTCCACCTCAGGGCCCGAGATATAGGGTTCGACGAGATAGGACTTTCCTGGAAACACTGTTTGGTCCTTTTGTACAGCAGAAAAGAGTTCCATTTCAGAGTTAACCATGTGAACCCCTTCTGAAGATTGTCCTCTGCCAGGTTTGACGATAAGTGGGTATCGCAAAGGGATTTTGAGAGCTTCGATCTGCTCTCTCAAATCGTCCACGCCTGTGACGGAAAGAACCAACTCCGGTGTGGTGATCTCGCGCATTTTGCCTTTGTCACTACAACGCTCGATGGTGACGGCTGGATCGGCAGGGAGTCTCAAAATATTTGCTACCTGTGCAGTTGCAACGAGAAGTTTGTCCGAGTACGTGATAATTCCATCTATGTCATTCCTGCTCTTTCTCATAGCTTGGATTATTCGACCAGGGAGATTTTCGTCAACTGTCAAGTCACACGAGATGAACTCATCCCGCAAATGAGCGAACTGATGATCCTGCAGCCAGTGGCCTTCGTGATCCAGAACGACAACTTCGATCCCAAGAGCCTTAGTGGCCCGATAGGGTCCCTCCGAGGCAGCCGATTCAGTAGGATGTGGTCGGCCTTCAACAATGACCAGGCGCTTTTTCCGAAGTGGTGCATCGAGTATCCAGGGGAAACCAAGTCGTGCGGCAATTTCAGACTCGAGTTGAAGAAGCAGAAACTTTACTGTTTCCGAATTCACCCCGAGACATAGTTTAAGCGAGATCGCCCCAATAGCATGTTCAAATGCTAATTGCATTGTGAGTCCTGTTCTCAGTGCATGCACTTTCTCCCGTGGCTCCGTGAAGTCCATTGTTCCTTCAATGAGAGTACAATTGAGCAATCTTCTCTCGATAATATCGTTGCGTACGATATAGCCATCAATTTGGGGGAGAACAAGTTTCATGGCAGCTACTTGAAGGCCGTAGGATCCTACAGTTCCTTTAACGACAGTTTCAATGAAATAGTATAATTTTGATGGTATCGATTCCTGAAGTGATGTCCAACATGTGGTGTTTGAGATCTCCTCGACCGTGCATTGTGCAACCTCAATTGTTATATGAGAGTCATTTCCGACTCTGGTGATTGGAGAACATGGTAAAATAGAGATTGTCGTCAAAATCATATCTATTGTTTGGTATGTATTTCCTTGCTTTTCAGGCACCTGCGAATCGCAACGTAGGAACGCTATTAATTTACTTAGAAGGATAACAAACAGTAAGGTGTACTTAAAACTCCGTTCAACTCACCTTGTTTGCTTTCATACAAAACCCTGAAGAACATCACCGGAGAAGCAGAAAGGTGGCCATTATCTGTGCCTCCAGTGACACCTTCCCCAATAGTTTCATCCATGACCCAGTACTTGTAGGATATAATATTCTCAAACTCGGCGAGGTAATGGAGTTGTCTTGATGAGATAAAAGCAGCTGTAACCGAATTTTGATCTACCTTGAGGTCTTGGTTTTGTAAAATCAACAATTCATGAGCCTTCTACATGGCCCAATGGGATGTCTTCCTTCCGTTCCGGGACCACGCAAATCGTCAACAATTGTCGTGAGACATACAGTACCACTACAAGAGCTTGATTACCCATCTCCGGATCTCAGTTGCAAAGGACTTCCGCCATTGCTTCGAAAGTTTTCGCTTGGAAGTATGTATTTATTTATGTTTTTGAACATCGTAACAGTGCGGCAGTTCAGTCCACTGATTAGACTACGGAGTTGATAAGTAGAAGCTATTCATTTTCAAATCTCTTTAGACCTGGGCACCCATATATCGTGTGATATCAGGGTAGTTGCCGATCATTATCGTCTCGGAAACATCTTGACAATATCAGGCAGGGGTTTCTTGGCGACAATAATAAGGTATCGATTACCTATATATCGGCACAAGTGGCCCGGGAAAGGATAAGTCCGGCTCCGGACCAATGATTCTTTTCCGGAAACCACGCTTAAAATTACCCTAAAAGACCTTAAACTACTCTAGATAATTGTTAGTACAGTGGAATTCTATATCGATAATATGTCGCTTATAATATCCGATATTACTAGTTAGCCTCGAAGTATATGAATTAAATCTTTATAATAAAATATAGTTTTATTTATAGTAACTTAAGATTTATAATTAATTAATTAGATAATTAATTTTTTTAAATTAACCATCTTTGTTTAGGAACTTTAGCTAACTACTAAAGTAGTTAGTTATACTAAAACCTAGGGTCTTAAACCTATAGTAAATTAATTACCTACTCGTTTTAGATAATTTTATATAAAAATAACCTAATTAAGTAGTTAAATATAAATAACACCTTATATAAACTATTATCTATAGTTGTAATAGCGTAAGGTCGAGGTCTAGATTCCACGGGCCCACGTTATTAAGGTGGCAGGGGCCGCGCACAGGCCACAATTCTGGCGCTTTTACGGTGTAAAACCTAGGTGCACCTGTACAGGGGTCTAATTCCTATAGATTCGCCTACCAAAGAGACCGCATTGATACAACTAACGGTCAGATTTATTATTCTATCGTAAATATACTTATTTTCAATTGACTAAGCACTCCTAAGTAAGAACCAAGTGTTTCCGATAATTAGTTATTAAGATACTAACGTGGTTTATCAGCGAGTCGATCATATCACCCAGTCGATCACTTTTTCTTGGCACAGAACTTTACACCTAAATAAATCAACCACAATATATTAAATTAATTATCGCTCTCTATATCTGACGAACTAGATATATCTATAACTTCTTGGCAAGTTCGCGCGTTATGACCAGCTTTTCCACAAGTTCTACAGCGCCGCCTAGAAGGTTGCCCCTCCTTATAACCAACCCCTCCTAAATAAATCAACCACAATATATTAAATTAATTATCGCTCTCTATATCTGACGAACTAGATATATCTATAACTTCTTGGCAAGTTCGCGCGTTATGACCAGCTTTTCCACAAGTTCTACAGCGCCGCCTAGAAGGTTGCCCCTCCTTATAACCAACCCCCGCCTCACGCATGTCGCGTCGTACTTGCTCATCTACATCCTCCTGAGCTAACATATCCTGTACATCCTCTACTATAAGTGCCCCTCCTTAGCAGACACGAGTCTTTTTAGCCCTACGGCGTTTACTTAAGGCTTCATTTGCAGCGCGAAGGGTACGGACCTCAGCAGACAAAAGGGTCATCTCATGTGCCATTCGCTCTGTACCCTTTGCTAACGCAGCAACTGTTTGAAAAAGTGGAGTTGGCGAGCTTCCTTGATGACAGGCTATACGATTTCGTACAAGAGTTGATTGTGAAAGGGCTTCAGTTGGGTTGGAAGGGGTCTGGGACACCCAGGGGAGGGAGTTGGCACTACACGTCCGAGGGGGAGTTGGAGTCCGTAACCTTACGTCAAGCTTTGAAAGCACTGTTTGCGGGTTAAATGGTACTAGGCCAGCTCCACGGAATCCAGACTGACAGTTTAGGACTGTCATTGTTTCCTTGTATGCTGCTGTAAAGGCTAGAAAGAACTCAACCTTTGTAATATGGTTGATATGGGCCTTGATAAACGTCTCAATCTGCCGACCATACGCTCGTTTTAACACACTATAGCACCCAACATCAAGTGGCTGGGTTAGATGGGATGAATGAGGAGGTAGTCCAAGAGTAATAATGTTGTGTTTCGTACAGTAGTCTTGGAACTCAGCCGATTCATGACTCTCGTGCCCATCCAAAACTAGTATTCGATACAGACCCTTTGCACGAGCTGTAGTGTGTTTATCAAAGTGCTTTAACCATTCCAGGCCTGTTTCATTATTTGTCCAACCATTGCTTGTCGGTTTCATAACCCAGTTAGGTGGGAGGCCGCCGTCGGTATACCAGTTGGAGAGATGGTTCTTGCCCTGAACTACCAAGAATGGAGGAATACTCCAGCCCTCCCCATTAATACAGGCAATTGCTGTAGCCCATTCCCGATTGCCTGGCTGAACTGCCTTGCCTCTACCACGTCGGTCTGCACGAGTAACAACCATTCTAGGACAAATAACACCCATCATAAAGCCTGTCTCGTCGAAGTTGTAGAAGTCGGAGTCTGTAACCCCATATTTCGCCCTCATATTCTCTACTAGCCGGAACCATGCGCCTAGCACGTCAGGATCTTCGCATAAGGCCCTCTGGAAGTCGTAAACGCGATTAAAACGCGTCTTAAGGTCTGGTTGTCGTTGTACGAATCGATGGGCCCAGAGCTTGCCGACGCGTCTTCCCCCCCGCGATTCAAGGATAAAATTAGCCATATCTTCTACACCAGCGAGCCGGGGCGCAAATCCTCTGGAATCCATATCCAGTATATACCGAATAATCACTTCCTCTTCTAACTCAGTCAACTTATGACAATTGGCTTGAGAATCTGGGCGGTAGGTTCGGCCAGCCATTCTGTCGGAAAGAGTCGTATATGGTACATTGTAGATCTTTGCCGCAGAGCGTTTGCTTAGTTTTTTGGACGACCGAATAGCCTCGATAGCTAGAGTAATTTGCGTTTCTTGAGTTTGAATTTCCATGGTAAATAGTTTAAGAAAACGTGTGTTGAAGTTTGAGGAGGTAGTGCCAAGGAAAAGTGATCGACTCGGTGATATGATCGACTCGCTGATAAACCACGTTACTATTATTTACTTTCTTTTTTTTTCGTAGTGCCAAGGAAAAGTGATCGACTCGGTGATATGATCGACTCGCTGATAAACCACGTTAATTATTTTAGGTTTTAGTGTTCGGGTTAGTTAAATATTCGGTTTAATACAACCAACCACTTTAGTAGTTAGCCTGAGAATCTAAAACTAAAAAATAATTCAATAAAATATGAATTCTCTGATTGGTGGAAAACAAACCTCACTACAACAAAAACATATTTCACTATAAAGATATAATTCTTATATACTCTGAGGCTAACTAGTGTATCTTTTCGGCGCCCAGTTTTGAATATTTTATTTACAAATGCCCCTGACAGACTTTGGGTGTAAAAGATGATGTTCTAGACAGATAGTTATATTAAAGTTAGTCCTACAAAATGAACGCAAATATTCAGAACAATTGAAGTGGGAAAATAATATAATTCATTCCTTCATCCGTTTGGGGATACTGTAGCTCGGTCACACTCTGCCTATTCCGCTTGCTTGCCTATAGCCTACTAACGGAGATTTCAGCTTTAAGTAGTAGCCACCGCAACTTTATCATAGGTCGCGCGGTTTCTAGTCTCCTGATACTGAATCGCAGTGATGTCCTCAAACTTCCTCTCCCTACCCACCAAGAACTCGTCAAACGGCCCTACACTCACATTCCGATCGGCTTTGCAAAAGAACGCAATGCTATATCTCTCAGGTACCAAGCCATTGACGATCTCCTCATCTAGGTGCGGTTTTGTCACGCGATGAAGACCTGCTGGTAATTCCTTGTTTGTCCACCTCTCCAAAGTCTCGCCAACAGTCACGAGCATCTCGTCACTGCTCTCGCAAGGGACTGGAACAAAGCTACCTGGATTCTTTCGATCCTCAATCTCAAGACCACCCAACGACTCGCGAAAAACGAGGGTGAGGGTACCGAAGTCAAAATGTGGCCAGATGCGGCAGATTTCACCTTGTTCGAAATGCTTCAAGGGAACTTCTGGGAAGTGGTTGAAACGCATAGTGGATGATTGATTGAGCGCAACGCGGGAGGTGAAAGACGATGAAGGCATGTTTAAAGCTGTAGCTAAGACTTCCAATAGTGTTTTACTAGCCAATGCGGAGTCGTTATAGAACTCTTCGAGCTTTTGTCTGTATCCTGGGAGTATTTTGTCTGAGGGCCATTTGTTGGGAAATTGTGTGTCATCTGGTGCCCCATGATCAAAATTTTCCTTTGTAGTGTATAAGTTAAGTTTTTAGTTTTGCGGGTGTTGGACGTCCTAGAAAGCTTACCTTGGAATCACTGGAGTTCTGGTCTCCAAATCCCAGCCGTTCCCCATGAAGTCCCCAGGTCTTTTCAGCACCGACATGACTCCATCCACGCTGGAAAGCCGTGTTTGGATCATCAGCAACTCCCCCTTTTATCTCAAGGGGTAGCGAAAAGAAGCTTCTCGCCTATCCCACTCAATTATCAGCATCTACACAACAGTACGGTGCTAAGACCTAGAATTTTGTAAACAGGAAATACAAGACATACCTGCTGAAAAATATTCCCTATTTTGTCCTTTGAAATAGGGTGATTGACAATCTTTGCAAAGCCATGGTCTTTAAGGCTCTTCAGGAATTTATCGCCGAATGAGCGACGTTCATCCTCAGAGCCCGTTTTGAACACCGACATATCGAGAAGTTCTAGTTGTACTGCCATGGTTGGACCTTGTTGGAGTTTAGAAAATCAATTGCAATGCCAGGTGCAGTAACTGCTGTTTTGGTTGACATGATGCCTTCCGATCATGCTCCACTCATATACGATACATAGCATCTACCATTAACAACAATGTCTGCTTATTCCTGTTAATTTGGTTACATAAAACACCGCTTTCAGGTGCCTTTCCGTTATGGTCAGCCAGAAGACTTGGAACCCGTGGTCCATTCAGGTCCGTGGGGATGTTCCGGAAAGGCTTTAAGGGTGTCGGACCGGTATCGGAGCTACATATTTATGACGTCAACTCAAAATTACACGGTAAAGCCTGCGGACCGACATCCGATGCCTGCGAAAAAGTTAACTGTAGCCAGTAATCTTTCTTTGTAATTGTAATGTAGTGAAGCCGGAAGTAGATTTGTGCAATATTCCTGACTAAGTCAGCTTCCATTCTCATTCTAAGACTAGTTGACAACCCCTATTTTATGCGAAGTAAGTTCGCAAGAAAAATCACGGGAACTTTGAAAGGCGTGCTTTGAAGCAACAATGCCGATGTAAGAAACATTCCTCCGTTTTCTGGTAGAATGAATGATAAGTAATTGAGTAATAGGATAAAAAATCCCTCGATAAAATATCCGAGTTTCAACCCACCTGTTCTCGACAACCGAACATGGCCCTCGAAACGCATTACTAAAGCCCCACGCTGGCTAGCAACTGATTTGAGAGACGGAAATCAGAGCTTGGAGTATCCAATGGTCAGTCTCTGATCTTAGACTCATTCTGTATCGTCGTTGGCAGCAACAGTATCTAACCGACCCAAAATCAGACAGTGGAACAAAAATGGAAATACTTCCAAATGCTCGTCCGCATTGGCTACAAGGAAATTGACATAGCTTTTCCAAGTGCATCTCAAACCGAATTTGACTTTTGCCGCCGCCTCGTTGAAACACCTTTTGCCGTGCCTTCTGACGTCTGGCTGCAAGTACTTTCACCGTGTCGTAAAGAGCTCATTCGTCGAACTGTTGACAGCGTCACCGGCTGCAAACAAGCTATTCTCAGTTTGTACATAGCGACCAGTATATCCTTTGTCACCACGATGTTTAATTCTACGCAGGCTGAAGTTTTGGAGAAGGCAGTGGACTGTGTAAGGTATGCGAGGTCGATCACAAAAGATGATCCGAAGCAGCAAGGAACGACATGGAGTTTAGTCTTCAGTCCTGAGGCATTTACGGATACGGATGTTAAATACAGCATTGAGATATGTGAGGCGGTCAAGGAAGCATGGGGCCCAACTGTTGATAACAAGATTATCTTCAACCTTCCCGGAACAGTGGAGATGGGTAGTCCAAATACCTATGCTGATCAAGTCGAAATCTTCGCTTCTTCGATCACCCGACCAGAGCTCTCTTGTATATCTCTTCACCCGCACAATGATCGAGGATGTGCAGTAGCAGCTTCGGAACTTGGACAACTAGCGGGCGCTGAGCGGGTAGAGGGCTGCCTCTTCGGCAACGGGGAGAGAACCGGCAATGTCGATCTGGTAACCCTGGCTCTCAATCTCTACGTTCAAGGAATTGACCCTCGGGTTGACTTTTCAGACATGAAGACCATCAAAGAAGTATTCCAAAAATGCACCTTGATTCCCATCCATACACGTGCTCCCTATAGTGGGGACTCGGCATTCAAAGCTTACAGTGGCTCGCATCAAGATGCAATCAACAAGTCGTTCAAATCAATGAACCGCAACGGCCTGTGGAAGGTACCTTATCTCCCACTCGATCCTCAAGACATAGGTTGCAATTACAAAGCGGTGATCCAGGTGAATTCACAGAGTGGAAAAGGCGGAGTTGCATGGACCCTCCGACAAGCGCTCAAGCTGGAGCTCCCACGAGGATTACAAATCGACTTCTCTAAGATCGTCAAGTCGGTTTCTGTGGCCCAAGGTGGAATCCTCCCACCCGATCAAGTTGCAAATTTGTTTCTGAAAACATATCATTTGTTCTCCCCAGATCCAAATATCAAGTCTGTGCAAACTGCCAATGAGGGTGAACTGCGGATCTTTGAAGCCACTGTACTCATACGAGGCCAACGACGCAATTTGAAGGGACGAGGTAAGACAATTACGGACGCAGTCATTGATACGCTTTCTATTATGAATCAAAACGTTGCTTTTACAAGTACGGTCACCAGCCTGGAATATCAGAATACGCTTCAAAAGGTAGTATTTGTTTCAGTCGAAGATATTGACAGTGAGACCACTTCTTGGGGAGCCAGTGTGGTCTGCTTGGGGGACGAGGAGTTAGCTAAGTTGAAAGCCATGCTTTCTTCTGCAACTGTAATTATCATCCCTTGTCAGGAAAGGAATCCATTCGAATTCTGACTAATAGATTATGGCAGACTTTGCTTGCAACTATTAGCGGAGTTCCTGAAACGCTTCGAAATACCAATGAAAAAGATAGTTGGATACTCAATAAGCCCGACTTGGCCGCAGCTTTGGCCGCTTAGATCATACACTCTTTTATTACAATAAGATATATTATCCTCGAGTTTTCATATTCTGTTTTTGATGATTGTGCGTTTTTGCCAGGTCGCGTATGATTGAGAGCTTGTACCGTAAATTTCCGGTTCATAGTACTGAAGTGAGAATTAGTCGTGCTTTATGTTCAGAAGCACTTAAAGAAGGAATAACATCCGTCATGTTTCCAGATCTCCTTGGTATACTTGGCGCAAATCTCACATAAATGTTGCTGTGAATTACGCATGGCCTCGTAAGTTTTGTTTTCAAAATTTCAGTTTCATTTGTCCACCCCGTGAGAATACCTACGTCTGCTGCGTAGCTTAACCTTAGAGACCATTTAGGCCAATACCACTAGCTGTCCTCCTTCTTACCTGTGTTATAGTTCTTGGATGTATGAGATTGCATTGAGTGCCCATAATACCATATAACACGGTGGTAACCATGCGCATTCGAAAACGATGAGGAGGCAGATATTTACATTCTGGCACCGGTCAGAAGAAAAGGAACCATAACTCTCAAGGCAACCCCAAAAGATCTTTCTATCTGTACCAAGATATGAACAATGATGTTTTACTAAGTTGTTCGTGGAGGTTCGCTGGAAAGTATAACGCCATCAACCACTAACTCCACAGTTTCTATTTCCCAAGTTTCGGCATCGACTTGGTGATCTCGGTAGACGTCCAAGCTATAACTTGCAAATTTGCTACTTTTTCGAATTGCTGTCCCGTAGCTTAGAAGCAAAATAGGCGTAAGGCAAAAGAGGGTTGCAAGAGAAGCGAGAACGGTAAGCGCTTTATTTGAGCCGAGGGCAACAAACATCTGATGGGCAAATAGCGGAAAGACAGCGCAAAGAACAGCCCTTGCGAGGGCCATAGAAGCAAACGCAGAAGCGGCGTATATGGTGTAACTGTCAGCCACGTACCCTGCAAGTGTCGTATCGAATTCGGTGCAAGCGTAGCCGATCAATGCCAACGAGCACGATGAAATAATCCAGGGAACATGATTGACGATTGGAGGGACTGTCCATGCGAACCACCAGAGGCCGATTGCGAGGAGCGGTGCCCCAATCGCAAAACCAGTCAACTTGTCTTCGGGTTGCAACGGTTGGCGATTCTTTTGTCGTTTGCGGAAGATGTGTTGGTCGTAGAAGCGAGTTAAGACACTTAAGCAAATGCCAACACACATTGCCAGGAAAACAAGGGATGACTGTGTTGCACTAAAACCAAAGAATCCATAAACTATTGGGATGGCTTCAGTGAAGAGATAGACCAATGCGAAAGCAACAGCGCTAATAATGCTTGTCACAAAGACGATAGGCTCTGTAAAGAGCAGTCGAATAGGCCTCAATAAAACAAGACGGATCAAAGTATCAAGATCCGGAGCGTGATCAGGATTGTTGATGCGAAAGGAATCATCGCCTGTGGCTTTTCTGAGAAGGGCTACCCGTGCTTCAAGAAGTTGGCTTGGTCGACTTTCGCGTGTGAATAGCAAAAGAATGGACATGGCGCCAGTAAAAATGGCCGAGATTCGGAAATGCCAATGCCTGAGAGAGCAAATGAGTACAGTATTCTTAGAAAATCAAACAGCTTGTGACAGTGCAACCCACCATCCTAAATATTCAACCACAAAGGCACCGTAGATTGGTCCGAGCGAAAGTCCCAAATTTGCAGCCATCAGCCAAGCAAAAATCATCCATATCCGATGTCCTGCATTGAACATGTCTTCAATACTCCCAGCGACCACATTTGTTGGGATCGCAGATAAAACTCCAGCACCAAAACGGCCGATGAGAATCACTGGTAGGTACGGCAGTACGCCGGGAAGTAAACAGAAGAGCGAGTAGAGTGCAGTGGATATAACGTAAAGCTTTTTCCGGCCAAAAGATTCGCTAAATGGAGGAAATACGGCGCCACCGAACCCCTGACCAATCATATATCTATGAATATGGTGTTTTATTAGCTTTGTAATGCTAAGCTGTTACTATGAAATGTGGTACTGACATAGATGTAAAACTAAATAGCGATAATACACGGCCGATTTTTAGGTCCTCGCGAGCAACATCGCTAGTAGCTGCCTGTTGACACAGTATTAGTGTTTTGAGATGGACCTCGAGGGGAGCCCCTTACACCCGCAGAGCTAATTGCGGTTCTATATAATAAGATCGTCAGCGATTTTGAATCACCCCAAGAAGAAGCAGAGGGCTCTGAGATACATACGTCGCGAAATCTAATATGACAATTAGGGAGATATCGTACAGTTTGCGAGACAGCGACCAGTTGCGAGGATGCAATTTATTCGACCGCTCCCATCTTACGATGCCCTCCGAATCCAGCTCGAGGCCGAGGTCGCTCAAATGGGCTCGGAGAATATCCAAATGAGGGGGATTGCAGGTGGCCAATGATTGCCTCACTGTAGAATCCTGTACATCCTCAGAAGACATATGATGACTTTTTTCCCACATCATGGGTAATGTGCCTGGTGGTTGAAAGGAAGAGTGAAGAGTGAGAAAGTTCGATGTACAAAATTCTACCTTTGTGGGAGCGTAAGAAGGTTCAAGGTGTGCATCGGGAACGCTCAACCAATCAATGACTGTGCTAGATAAACACTTGGAAACTGCAACGTCTACTCCTACCTATTTTGGAAGAAGAAATTTCAATTTTTCTCACCGCCTTCTGTTCTGCCACCAATGTAAATAGGGGGCCAGATAAGCGAAGGCGGCGATAAATGACAAAGCTTGGCACACCTGGGCTCCGGGAGCTGGAAAGTGGTCCGAAATGGTCCGTTTGGTCCGGACAGGCCTGATTGGTGCGTCATTAGTGTTAGCCACATTCTTACCAGGCCCAGCTGCGAGTCAACACCAACAATTTCCTCTATTTTAAGAATCCAAAATTGATCAAGCCACGAGTTCGTCGTGAGTTCTACTGAGACCACGAAAAAGTGATATTAATAATACCTTTCAAGATGTCAGTCCTGCCTAGCGAACATCACTTCCTTCGCTAACCATCATCTCTTCCAGGAAACGAGTTCTCCTCCTAGGCGCAGGATATGTCGCCCGACCAACTGTAGATATCCTCAGTAAAGCCGGAATTTCAGTGACGGTTGGTAAGTTCATCATGAAAACCAATCATTACACGCACTAATCATGGCAATCTTTTGGCAAGCATGCCGCAATTTGCAGACTAGTCTGGCTCTTATTGAAGGTCTCCCCCACACTCAGGCTATTTCGTTGGATGTGGAAGATTCAACAAGTCTTGACAATGAGCTTTCTCAGGTCGACTTGGTGATAAGCTTGATTCCATATCTGCTGCATGAGAAGGTTGTGCGCTCAGCAATTCGAGCGAAAAAGCATGTTGTAACAACCTCATATGCATCTCCCACTTTACTTGCCTTGGACGAAGAGTGCACACAAGCGAAAATTACGGTCCTCAACGAAATTGGGGTTGACCCAGGAGTCGATCATCTCTATGCTGTAAAGGCTGTGAACGACGTGCATGCTTCGGGTGGCAAAATATTATCCTATGAGTCCTTTGCGGGTGGACTTCCAGCCCCGGAAGCATCCGACAATCCCTTAGGCTATAAGTTCTCTTGGTCCGCTCGTGGGGTAATATTGTCCCTTCAGAATCCAGCTAGGTATGTTGAAGATGGAGTTTTGGTTGAAATACCCGGAGATGCCCTCATGGGTTCCACTAAGCCTGTCTTGATCTATCCTGGCTATGCTTTTGTGACATACCCCAACCGCGATTCTACTATTTACAGAGAGCACTATGGAATTCCAGAAGCCCAGAGACTTTTCAGAGGAACGTTACGATACCAGGGGTATCCTGAATTTGCAAAAGCCTTGCGAGATTTGGGTTATCTGAGCCAAGATTCGGAAATATTCTCTCAATCCCCCAAACCAAAGACCTGGGCAGATTTGTCCAAAGCGATTCTGGCCACAAATTCGGCACAAGAAAGGTTTACAAGTCCCTGTTAGATTCCAAGCCACATCAAATCATTGACTCCTTCTAGTGAACTTATCGCGACTACCTCATCCAAGCTAGTGGATATAGGTACGAAAGAAAAAATTGTTTCTGGATTTCGCTGGCTTGGTCTATTCTCGAACACCCCAATATCGGATGTTTCAACCCCTTTTGACGCAGTGGTCTGCACGTTAGAGGAAAGGCTTAAATTTGAACCAGGTGAAAGAGATTTGGTGTTTCTACACCACAAATTTCAAATTGAGCATAAAGATGGCCAAAGAGTACTGAAGTCTTTTCATTTTCTCAAATAATTGATTTTGCAACCAGCCCTAATTCTGCGTTGCGGTATAATACCTTTCTGGCTGACATGCTACCTTCAGGAAGTTCGCACGTTCACATTGGCTGAATATGGGGATCCGAAAGGGTATTCAGCAATGGCACGCCTAGTCGGTGTTCCTTGCGGTGTAGCAACTTTACAGGTTCTTGATGGCAAAATCAGTAAAAGAGGCGTTTTTGCTCCCACAACAGAAGATATTGCTAAGCCACTTCGGGATACGCTCGAGGAGCATGGGATTAAAATGAAAGAGACACGGGATGTGAGAGGTCAGGGACCAACTATACCATGAGACATTCAACTTACAACTTCTTCATCAAATTGACAACGGATACAATGTTGCAAGTCTGAGGATTAATGTCAGTCTGCAAGTATACAGAATAATCTATGGCACACCTATATATAGGCCACACACACAAAAATATGTTTTCGACCTACGTTCCAGTAGAGGTGAACTGCAATCTTATTTACCTCCCCAATTCACATTGCTACTTGTTGCGAGCGTAACCGCTGATAGAATCACTCTTGACTCCAATGGCATGCCCAGGATCACAGAGGTGGGAGAAGATCGAGACCCGAAAAGATAAATACGCTCAAGGTCCGGGCCCTCTCGGAGCCCGGATGGAAGCTCTGTGTGGAATTCTACGAAACAGGATCGACGTTTCTCGGTGTCATACGGGAATATCTGTGATCTGTCACCGGTTTCTATAAAGCCAAGCTACTGTAAGATATTCCTTCATTAGCCGCAGTGCGTTTGCATATGTTCAATTGGGAAACAAACTTTTATATCTCATTAAAAGGTATATAAAACAAGGAAAATGACTGTGGGAAGCTACCGCCGCAGGCTAGATGCCTCCAAACTAGTCGTCACTCGGAGTAAAGTTTTGAGCGAGGCCCACAACCCAACGGATTTGAAATTTGGCAAGCATTTCACAGGTATGTCTCCTCAATATCTCGACTTTCTATTATTCCTCTCAGGTCCCAACCTATCAATAACTGCTAATGCGACAGATATAGACCATATGCTGCTCATAAAATGGAACCTCAACTCAGGTTGGTGTGATCCCGAAATAGTCCCCTATCAACCAATAGCTCTCGACCCTAGCTGCGGCAGTCTCAACTATGCTATCTCCTGCTTCGAAGGCATGAAAGCTTACCTCTCCCCCCAAAACGCGCCCCTCCTCTTCCGACCGCTCGATAACTTGCGTCGTATGAATTCCTCCGCTGAGCGAATTGCGCTTCCCACATTTGATGTCAACGAGTTGCTAAAATGCATCGCAAGTCTGGTTGAATTGGACAAGAGATTTCTCAATGTCAAAAGGGGGACTAAACGCGGTAGTCTATATTTACGGCCCAATCTTATCGGAACCTCCCCTGGCTTGGGAGTTGGTCCTCCAACAAGCGCATTACTCTACGTGATAGCTTCACCAGTGGGGGAATACTTCTCCTCTGCCTCCACTGCCGGGATCTCGCTACTTGCGTCCTCAAACTTAGGCGCCACAAGGTCTTGGTACGGTGGCGCTGGAAATCGGAAAATAGCAGCCAATTATGCGCCAACCATTATGCCTCAGTTACAGGCAGAGAGACTAGGTTGTCAACAGGTGCTTTGGGTAATGGAACGTGACTGTCGGATCACCGAGGCGGGCACTACGAATCTTTTTGTTGTTTTGAGGGGTGAAGATGAAAGGTCAGTATTGATAACCCCTCCAGTTGACGGAATGATTCTTCCGGGCATCATAAGGGATAGTGTTTTAAGTTTGGCGAGAGAAAGGTTGGAGGGGAGAGGATGGGAAGTCGTGGAGCGGATAATTACCATGGCTGAGTTGAGAGATGCTGCCAAAGACGAGAGATTGATCGAGATGTTTTGCACGGGGACGGCAGCAGTAGTGGTTCCGGTGAAAGAAATCGTGTGGGGAGAGTGCGTGGTCAGTTGCAGAGGTGAGGAGAACTCGGGCATGGGAGAAATCGCTGGGTTAATGAAGAGCTGGATTGAGAAAAGGCAGTATGGACAAGAACGCCACGAGTGGAGTGTGGAAACAGTTAGCTTGGGTGGCGTCAATTGAAAAGAGAGGGATCATTGAACAAGATGGAGAGCTAAAAAGTTAGATAAGACTTGATTCCGACAATCTCTCGTTATAAAATTAGCTCCAGATGTATAGAACATATCACTTCAGTAAAATGGAAGTTGTCCCACATACGTCAGCCCATCTATCTTTCAATCTTCAGTGATACCCCTGAGAATTGTTTTCATGCGCTTCATCTGATTACCTAACACGTTAGAGCCGAATAACGGAAAGATATTCTTCGTTCTCGGACCGGAATGATGATCCCCTTGCACATCAATATGTAGAATATCCGCAGGTGGAATTTGTCCTACAATATTTACCAAAGTACTCTACAGCTACTCGAGTAAGACCTTCCTCATAAGAAGACACCTCCTCGAGAATAACGACGTCTCATTAAAAGTCATCCAGTCTTTAAGCATCAACATCCAACCTCAGAATGACTTTCCCAACTATTCATCTTCGCTCCGAGAGTAGGTCTTACTAGATCACTGGCCAAAACTTAACCATGAATATTGGCAAACTAATTGTTCTATGTAGGTAAACCATTCGAAGCTCGATCCGCATTGACGCCAACGACTGCAAAAGCCTTATTAGATGCAGGCTACAGTGTTCACATTGAGCATAGCCCGGTTCGTGTGTTCGATGATGATGAGTTCGCCGCTGTTGGTGCAAGTATGGTTCCGGAGGGAAGTTGGATTGACGCCCCTTTGAATCATCTTATCCTTGGGCTCAAGGAGCTGCCGGATGGTGACGGTATTTTCCTCCAATCCACCCATGAATTCAAAGACACTCCTTAATAGCATTCCACTTTCACATACAACATCTTCCTAATCATTCGCTAACCTCAACTTCTTGGTAGGTTTGATTCGCCATACGCATATTACATTTCACCACATCTACAAATATCAAGCCGGCTGGCAACACACTCTACAGCGTTTTCTCCGCGGAGGTGGCATGCTACTCGATTTGGAGTACCTGACTGAAACTACAGGGGGGAAACGGGTAGCTGCATTTGGATACCACGCCGGCTTTGCCGGAGCTGCTCTCGCACTGAAGACGTGGAGTTGGCAGAAGACGCATTGCATGCCAAACGGCAACGAAGCAATACCACTATTGCCAGCTGTGGAGCCTTTTCCGAATGAACAAGCTTTGGTGAAAGAAACAACAGATGATATAAGGAGAGCAGTCGATGAAATCCACAAAGAAAAACTTGCAAGAGGAGATGAGAAAATAGCGCAACTTCCCAAAGTTCTGGTGATGGGGGCTCTAGGTCGTTGTGGATCGGGAGCCATTGACTTTCTTGAAAGGGCAGGTATACCATCATCCAACATCTCAAAATGGGATATCGACGAGACAAAAGCCGGAGGCCCCTTTGCTGAAATTTTGTACTTCGACATTTTCGTCAATTGCATATTCCTCGCTGATTCCATCCCTCCTTTCATCACTCTTGAAATGGTGAAGGAGAAGCCTAGGAACTTATCGGTCATTGCTGACGTGAGTTGTGATGCTATGAGCCCTTTCAATCCAATTCCTATTTACGATATTTATACCACGTTTCGAGAACCTACTGTCCGGATTCTAGGAGCCAAGAGTGGGGAGATAGAGAAAGTGTTGGACGTGATTAGCATTGATCACCTACCTACCATAGTCCCAAGGGAGGCAAGTGAAGCCTTCAGCAAAGGGATATTGCCAAATTTGTTGAAGTTGAAAGATTGGAAGGAAGATCGGGCATGGAAAGATGTCGAAAATAAGTTCTTTGATGCGGTGGTAAAGATTCTGTGAGGCCTTGGGGGTTTTTGCAGTGAAGGATGACCCTGATGTAGTTCACATGTGTTGTATGGCTTGGAAATGTTCTTGAATTCAGAAAAATTATCGTATCAAATAATTGTCAAGAGATTACAACAGTTCCCTTCTTGACTATACTCGAGTACCTCCGTGCCTGATAAAGTTCCAGAAAAGTGAACATTTACCCTTTTCGTATTTTGAAATCTTCACCACATGATATTATGAAGAGAAAAGCAAAGATGGTCTTAAGATACTCTGAATAAAGCGCAATCCTAAACATGACTTAATTTACATGAACTGGACATTACTACCTATCTGATACGAGAGAAATCACATGGTTGATATCGAATGGCAATTACGTAGTATTGAAAAGTTAGTCGAAGCTAAAAGCATGTTTCTTTTCTGTACAGGGTCATCCTTCTTTCCTCCCAACAACCCACAAAAAGTCCAATAAAACTCTAGCCCCAGCTTGACACTCTTCCGGCATTTTCTGCAATACCTCTCGCCACTCCGTAGGTGACAAACCATCTTCATGATCTTGACACGTCGGAATTATATCGTTTTCTATGAAGTCTTTGGTAGCCAAAAGCTGCATGGTCGTCCAAGGTCTTGCAAGAGACTCTTTGAATGTTTGGCGTTCGGACTTTAGTATTGAGAAGTCGTGCTGGCTAAGGCTTGTGCTTAAGTTAGAAACCCAACTGTGAGGTGGTGCAGAGTTAGTTCAGACACCAGGACAGGTGGGAAACGACGTGTTACCTCGCGTTGATATTTTGAGATGCCATCCAAGATAAGCCCCTTTCGATGTATTTGTTGCAGAACGGGTATGCATCGGGTCCCTTATCAGAACGTACGTACATACCCTCTATATCCAATTCCTCCCAGTGGATGTAACCACCCGGCTCTATTTCATTATTAGCCTAAACATGTTCTTTCCCCCCTGTTGCAAGATTCTACTGAAGACATACTTAACATGGTCTTTATATTCTCAATCAACGGCCCTGGATCTCCATCTGCCACATAAAGGGAGAATCCCCTACAATGAACGATATCGTATTTTCCAACCAGATTTTCTGGAACGGCGGCGAAGGAGTCAAGTTCCGAGAGTATTACTTGTGGTGGAAGTTCGTGCTTTGAAGGGAAGTGAGCAGGGGAGATATCGAAGCCATCGAGTTGAGAAGTTTGCGGGAGACGTTTTGCGAGGTCTACAAGCCAGATACTAGTTTACCTTTAGTTGCATTGTCACCTATTTAGTCTATACCAATGCACGCAATACACACCCTGTCCCACAAGCCAAATCAGCTATCTTAAGACTATCACCCTGCACTGGAATTCTTGGATCTAGAAGAAAACCGATCTGTTCCCAAATAATCCAATGTTGAAGATAGATCCTGTGAATGTGTAAGTTTGTATACTTGTTTTTCGCGTCGATGAACCGCAATTCAAAATTCATACCTAGCACCCGACTCATTGTGACGACCAAAATCCGATATCGGCATATTTCATGAACAGTCTCAGGGGATTTCCTATGTCAGATTCTTCATCCACTGGCTGCTATTCACCATAGTTCCATAGACATATCTTCTGGACACGGAAGGGAGGTGTTAAGCGAATTGCCTCGGTCCGGGAGAACAAGGGCGTGAGTGACATGGTCGCTCCGTCGCGATGATCCAGCGGTCCGACAAGTTGGACGGGGCATATACAATCTTACTAAGATAAACGTATGCGAATATTGTTGTGATTAGTTGCCGGAAGTCCATTATGAAATTAATAATGTCGATTATGAAAGGGTCACGTGTTGCTATTCCCCTTGCCTTTTGCCCCACCTCACCATCCGAAGATCTTTTCCCAGCCAGTCACTTATGACTCTAAACGGCTAGACTCCAACAAGAACGAGAGTTTTTTCTCCATGTGTACAGAGTTTGCGCGGACAAGAAAACAAGCCGGCAATATTGTCTTGACGCGGAGTCAATAATAGATTCAACTGAGAGCATCATTGGCTCATATTATCACGATGATGGCTGATTCCCGGTCGGGTCCTATTGGAACTGGAAACAATTCTCGCGTTATCACTCAGAATGCGACAATTATCGAGGAACAGAGTAGTGAAAAAGATACTTCCCATGATAAATTAAATCAGGCAACGCAAGAACCGCCACCACCGCAGTTGAAAGAAGGGCGATTATGGCTGATATTAGGGAGTCTCTGGGTTAGAATCTTCGAAATTACCATATATATGCACACGCTGACACATCTTAGGTGGGGGTATTGCTGGTTGCGCTTGGTATGTGATTTAAAATATATATTCCACTGTTTTGATGCTAGAGGGTTCAATCCAGAAAAATATTAATGAGTGAATTATAGACGAAACGATGATTGCCACAATAGCGGTTCCTATCACGACGACTCTCCATTCCTTCTCGAGCTACGCATGGTTCACAACCACCTATCTTATAGGAAGCTCAGTCTCTCAAGCTCTTAGTGGCTACCTCACCGATCTCTTCGGTCGTCGCAAGGGACTTACTGTTTGTTACGCTCTCTTCACACTGGGGATTCTCCTTTGCGGTGTTGCATCCAATATGCCTATGTTTCTTGCTGGTAGAGTACTGCAAGGTTTGGGGGGTGGGGCGATATGTTCCATCACCGCGTATGTCGAGACGGACCTCATTCCCATGGAGCGAAGGGCATTCATTGAAGGGCTTGCCAATGTCTGTTATGGGGTTGTCCTCGCGCTTGGTGGCATATACGGTGCAGCCGTGGACCATTCTATCGGATGGAAATGGGCTTTCTTGATTCAAATTCCTGTTCTTGTGGGTGACGGAGTGATCGTCTTCTTCATTGTCAAAGTGCGGGACGAGAAGAAGGATTGGAGCAATGCACTTCGTCATATTGATCTGGTTGGCATGATTCTACTTCTAGGGGCGATTGTTTGCTGCGAATTTGGTCTCAACATTGGAAGCACGCGCTTGGTTTGGTCCACACCCGACGTCATCACGCCTCTTGTCATTGCGGGTGTATGCCTTCTGGTTTTCGTCTTCTGGGAGTTGAGAGTTGCAACAAATCCAGTCGTGCCAATAGGTGCTGTTACCGGACGAACAGTTGGATCAATCTTGATCTCGTCCTTTTTATCTACTGGGTGCTTCGTGAGCATCATGTTCTACGCCGTCCTCTACCTGCAAATTCTGGGTCTCTCAAATGTTGCTTCTGGGTTAAGGCTCGTCCCTCTCTCAATCTCTTTTGCATTAGGCTCCATGATTACTGGATGGATAGTGGAGTTTACGCATCGATATTACTATATTAACATTGGCTTACAAGCTATATCAGCACTGGGTTACGGGCTTCTCTGTATGCTGGATTCCGAGACCCCTTCGTGGCAACCATTTGTTTTCCTCGCTATTCTAGGACTTGGTATCGGGGGAACCTACGTCACAAATCTTATGGGCATACTGACATCAATTCCAAACGAACACCAAGCGACAGTTCAAGCTGTCTCATGGTCTGTGAGAGCCATTGGTGTAGCCAGTGGCTTGACTATATCATCGGTTATCTTTCAAACTGTTTCGCGAACATATCTACATGACCATTTGAATGATGATACTCTGGTCGAGCAATTCAGCAACACCATTGCGTTAGATTCTCCTATTTTCAAAGGTCTGGATCGACCTACGCAAGAGATGATCAAGGAAGGATATATGGAGTCTACGGGAGCAGTGTTCTATTTCTTATTGGCCCTGGCGGTGCTCAGTATATTTTTCAGTCTGTTTATCGAGAACAACGTTATCACGAATGCAGATAGCAATGATAGCACCGATTAAGTAATGTTCCTGAATACCACAATGTAAATCTAGAACAATTACCAATTCTGCCAAGAATTTGTTTTCGGTTTTATCGATGGATTATGAAATGAAAATGTAAATACGAGCTCGAGAATCGATATCACAATGCCTACGTACGCAGGATCTATGACGATAATGTTACGCCAAGTCTCATTTCACTAGCAATTATTGAGTACGAAAGTGCTATTCAGAGCCGTAATGTCGGCTCGACGAATATGAACATGGGCAAGAAGATTAGGACCTCTTGAAATTATTTGCTCTCTTCGAAGGAATACCATCAAGGTCATGAAACTCTTGATTGTTACTCTCTGAAGCTAATTAACGCCTTCACTCTCCGCTTTTAACCCTAGCCAATCGCTCAACCTCAAACAGTAAATCGCCCTCCATCGTCTCCCAAAGCGTAGGTGCTTTTGACTCATAACCCAAATACTTCTTTGCTCGATCAGCCGTACATCTGGTATTTGACCCCCATGTATAAAGACCCATGTAATGCCAATCCGAGCCATCCCGCATCTCAGTGATGGTCTCTAAACTCAATTGTACCGGCTCCTCTGTTTTGATGAGTCCATGAGACTTCAGAATCTTCCCAGCAAATCTCGCCATCTCCTTTTGAGTTGCTTCTTGAGTTGCTGCAAAGTAGTAACCCTAATTTGTATGTGTTAGTATAATAGAATTTTATCATTGCTGGGTTTATTTACTTCTCTCCCCCAGACGGCATTTCCGCCACCCGCAACAGCGGCTTCGACAATAGCATTGTAAAGTTCCATGAGATCATCAATATGAACCCACGCTCTTCTGTTCTCGCCGGACTGCGTATAATACGGACTCCCTAACTTCAGGATTTCTCTCCCCATCTCGGGAATGAACAGGCTCTGCTTTCTCACCATTCCTCTTCCCGGTCCATAGATCCCTGGAGGACAAATAATCGCACATTTGAGTTTGTCGCCATGTCGATGTGCGGCAGCTTGCACAATTTTATCCATGTTACGGTGCAGATAATCGTCGGGAAGGGAAGTAATCTCGTCTATATCATTGATATCGGACCAGACCTTAGGATTCATTTCTCCGTAGTTGCTGCCATCTTGCCAGTCTGCAATGAGTCCCGTGCCTCCGAGTCGAATGAGGAACGATGGACCTGGACGTCTTAAGAGCCCTTCTATGTGGGCATTCAAGCTGCCGACGTGTTTGGTTTTACCACCATCTGTTATACATGTTAATATCATATTTTATAGGTGAGGGTATTCATAGATGCAGATTACGAATCACAATGTTGTTTTGAGCAGCAGTGTTAGCGATGAGGTCCACATCATTGAAAGACCCAATCACAATATTGACATTAGGATAGCGTTCAGTGAAGCCTTCTGGCACAGTACGGAGGAGAACCGTGATGTGATACTCGCTGTGGCATTTTACAAGAGTATCCAATACGGATCCGCCGATGTAGCCAGTGGCAGCTGTACTTTTACACATGTTAGCAAATTCTCGTCAAAAGTACTGAATAAGGTGTTTACTGAACTTACAGGAAGATGTTGGACATTGCAAATTTAAGTGCAGGATTTGAGTGTAGTATTATTGTCAGAGCCCCAGATTCAGGAAAGCGAATACAATAGATAAATTCCTGACTTGTCTCAAATATCAGCTTATATTTCTTGTTGGAAGAGGTAGCAATGACTTCATCAGTAGCGCTATCTATTTACCTTGTGAGACCGGTCCGTAAAAGCCGACGCCCCCATGGACCCTATAACTTGCTTCCGGCACTCCACTTTTGGTCGGAATAGACGAAAATCTTACCCTTGTCCAACGCTCCGGTCATTCTGGTCGGAAACATGATCACTTGAAGGGGCGAAAATTATAGAGAGCGAAAAGACATTCGTCATCAATGCTTGAAAGGGTTTTCCATAATCTCATTGCCACCTTAATTCTACTCTGTTTTACCCCCTGAACTTGGTTGATTCTGTATCTACTCCCCATAACTACTGTATTTGATTCTATGCTCTATTCATCTCAATCCTCACGTGAATTATTCATTATGGGAGACATCGGTGTCACATATTTGGAGTCCACGGCTGCAGTTAGGACTGCCAGCATACCACCGGCAATCTATCCACATGCACCATCGTCAATTCCGGCTGATGTTACTGGTGTGGTTCAGTATTGGGTCAAATCCTTGAACCGGGCCCTTCAAAACAATAGTTTTGGTGACCTTAGCGAGCTTTTCCACGAAGAATCCTACTGGAGAGATCATCTCTGCCTTTCGTATGATTTTCATACTTTCTATGGGGCTGCAAAGATAGAGACCTTTCTACGAGGTCATCCCAAAGGTTCGCGGCTCAAATGCATCACCATCGATGACAGCCATCAGCACCACCATCCGTCCCTAAAACCACTTGACTCAAAGGGCGAAATATTGGGAATTCGGTCTTTTTTGAAAATTGAAACGGATATTGGGACTGGGAAAGGTTTAGTAAATCTTTCACAGAATCCAAACGACGGGTCCTGGAAGTCTTTTACTCTTTATACCTGTTTACAAGAGTTGAGAGGGCATAAAGAGACGATCAAATACAACCGACCGCTGGGAAATAAGCATTCTGAAAGCATTGAAAATGGTGGGGCGCCAAGAACACCAGAAGAAAATGATTCTCCATGTGTACTGGTCATTGGTAAGAGCCGTGTTACATCCACTCACACTCTGCCTCCATACAGAGGCTAATAGAGAGTAAAATTAGGTGCTGGCCAAGCAGGTCTCGCAACAGCAGCACGACTCCAGCAACTCGGACTCTCAACTGTCATCATTGAAAGTAATAAGCGAGTAGGGGATAATTGGCGAAATCGCTATCATCGTCTCGTTCTACACGATCCTTTGTGGTGTAAGAGCATTCCTCTTCCCCGTATAATATTTCTTCTTATTCTCGTCCGCTGCTAATCTATTTGAAATGCAGATAATCACATGCCCTATCTTCCATTCCCTGAAAACTGGCCTGTATTCACACCGCAAAATAAACTGGCAGATTGGCTAGAATTATACGTTAAAGCTATGGAGTTAACAGTGTCAACATCCACTCGAGTGACTGATTCGAAATGGAACGGAAGCAGCTGGGAAGTTAGTCTTCTCGCCACCATGGAAGATGGAACAACAAAGGCACAAACACTTCATCCAAAACACATTGTGCAAGCAACCGGTCAATCTGGGATTCCGAAAATCCCACAAATTCCAGGAATTTCGACGTTCGAAGGTACCCCGCCATTGCATTCCTCCCAATTTCAGGGACCATCGAATCTCAATGGGAACGGGAAACGTGCGGTGGTTATAGGAAGCGGCAACTCGGCACATGACATTGCGCAAGACTTCTATGAGCATGGATATCATGTAACTATGGTGCAGCGATCAGCAACCTGTGTTGACCCTACGCAGTATAAAGAAGGGAAAGGTTTGTATACAGAGGGTGGGCCATTAGTCGAAGATGCGGACTTTGAAAAGGAGGCCGAACCAACGGCAGTGATGAAGAGAAAGCAGATTGATGTTACGACAAATATTAGAAAGCTCCATACCGAATATTTTCAGGGATTGGAAGCGGTGGCGTTTAAGTTGGATTGGGGACCCGATGGCTCGGGGTAAGTTATTTTCGTTGCCCTGTTCCATCATTTATGGCGGACCTAGAATACCTGCTGGAAACTTGCTAACATTACTTTTAGTCGAAAATTAAAATTTCTTGAACATGGAGGGGGTTATTACATAGATGTTGGTGCCTCACGGCTGATTATAGAACGAAAAATAGCCATGAAGTCGGGCGTGACGCCATCGAAAGTGACACAAGATGGGATTATGGCGAGTGATAATAGCTTCATCCCCGCAGATGAAATTGTTTTCGCTACTGGCTATCAAAGCATGATTTCAGCTACCGCAAACATCTTCGGGCCAGACATGGCAGGGCAATTGGGAGAAGTATGGGGTCTTGATGAGGAAGGGGAGTTAAAGGGTGTATGGAGGCAGAGTGGGCATAAGGGATTTTGGTTCGCAGGCGGAAATCTGGCGCTTTGTAGATGGTATAGTCGGCTTTTAGCGTTGCAAATCAAGGCAATTGAAGCTGGGCTTTGGGCCGAGGGAGATTTGTAGACATTGGTATAGTATCGCAGACACACAATATATCATGCTCTTCTTTTGTTCGCTTCCCAGGAAAGTTTCAAAATTAATAGTAAATATAATATTTTCGGAATTACCCTAAGATCAAATTATCCCGGCGCTACGGAACGGACATGGGCGAATAGGGTACGGAATTACTAAACCTCTCATTATAAACTTTTAACTATAAATAAGTCTCTTTGTTGGTATAGAGATATCTGGGATATCAAGGAAAAGAAATAGGATACAGAATATTCAGTTGATTGTTGTCTACTTATTAGGGAGTGGTGTTGTTCGAGTACTCATGGTACTCGAACGAGTGGGTCTAATCAGGTGACATAAATAAAAGGGGATAGAATATATCCCAACACTCTTATAAGTATACAGATTTTTATATTAGAGGAGCTATAGTAATGATAATCGCCCGTAAGAGACGTAGGTAGTTATTACTCTATATGTACCTCTCCTCGAATAAAATTATTCTAAAAGCGTTATATAACTAAAATAGTCATATAGAGCTATATAAATAGTTTGGAATAATTACTTATACTTACCTTTTATTAAGTTAGTCTAGATATAATAATACTATTATTTTATTTCTATTAGAAGGTTGGGGTAATTACTTTTTAGAAGATTTATAGAGGAATAAATAAATATTTTTTATTTAACTTATTAGTAAATCTTTTATTAGCTTTTATATAACGTGGTTTATCAGCGAGTCGATCATATCACCGAGTCGATCACTTTTTCTTGGCACAGAACTTTACACCTAAATAAATCAACCACAATATATTAAATTAATTATCGCTCTCTATATCTGACGAACTAGATATATCTATAACTTCTTGACAAGTTCGCGCGTTATGACCAGCTTTTCCACAAGTTCTACAGCGCCGCCTAGAAGGTTGCCCCTCCTTATAACCAACCCCCGCCTCACGCATGTCGCGTCGTACTTGCTCATCTACATCCTCCTGAGCTAACATATCCTGTACATCCTCTACTATAAGTGCCCCTCCTTGGCGGACACGAGTCTTTTTAGCCCTACGGCGTTTACTTAGGGCTTCATTTGCAGCGCGAAGGGTACGGACCTCAGCAGACAAAAGGGTCATCTCATGTGCCATTCGCTCTGTACCCTTTGCTAACGCAGCAACTGTTTGAAAAAGTGGAGTTGGCGAGCTTCCTTGATGACAGGCTATACGATTTCGTACAAGAGTTGATTGTGAAAGGGCTTCAGTTGGGTTGGAAGGGGTCTGGGACACCCAGGGGAGGGAGTTGGCACTACACGTCCGAGGGGGAGTTGGAGTCCGTAACCTTACGTCAAGCTTTGAAAGCACTGCTTGCGGGTTAAATGGTACTAGGCCAGCTCCGCGGAATCCAGACTGACAGTTTAGGACTGTCATTGTTTCCTTGTATGCTGCTGTAAAGGCTAGAAAGAACTCAACCTTTGTAATATGGTTGATATGGGCCTTGATAAACGTCTCAATCTGCCGACCATACGCTCGTTTTAACACACTATAGCACCCAACATCAAGTGGCTGGGTTAGATGGGATGAATGAGGAGGTAGTCCAAGAGTAATAATGTTGTGTTTCGTACAGTAGTCTTGGAACTCAGCCGATTCATGACTCTCGTGCCCATCCAAAACTAGTATTCGATACAGACCCTTTGCACGAGCTGTAGTGTGTTTATCAAAGTGCTTTAACCATTCCAGGCCTGTTTCATTATTTGTCCAACCATTGCTTGTCGGTTTCATAACCCAGTTAGGTGGGAGGCCGCCGTCGGTATACCAGTTGGAGAGATGGTTCTTGCCCTGAACTACCAAGAATGGAGGAATACTCCAGCCCTCCCCATTAATACAGGCAATTGCTGTAGCCCATTCCCGATTGCCTGGCTGAACTGCCTTGCCTCTACCACGTCGGTCTGCACGAGTAACAACCATTCTAGGACAAATAACACCCATCATAAAGCCTGTCTCGTCGAAGTTGTAGAAGTCGGAGTCTGTAACCCCATATTTCGCCCTCATATTCTCTACTAGCCGGAACCATGCGCCTAGCACGTCAGGATCTTCGCATAAGGCCCTCTGGAAGTCGTAAACGCGATTAAAACGCGTCTTAAGGTCTGGTTGTCGTTGTACGAATCGATGGGCCCAGAGCTTGCCGACGCGTCTTCCCCCCCGCGATTCAAGGATAAAATTAGCCATATCTTCTACACCAGCGAGCCGGGGCGCAAATCCTCTGGAATCCATATCCAGTATATACCGAATAATCACTTCCTCTTCTAACTCAGTCAACTTATGACAATTGGCTTGAGAATCTGGGCGGTAGGTTCGGCCAGCCATTCTGTCGGAAAGAGTCGTATATGGTACATTGTAGATCTTTGCCGCAGAGCGTTTGCTTAGTTTTTTGGACGACCGAATAGCCTCGATAGCTAGAGTAATTTGCGTTTCTTGAGTTTGAATTTCCATGGTAAATAGTTTAAGAAAACGTGTGTTGAAGTTTGAGGAGGTAGTGCCAAGGAAAAGTGATCGACTCGGTGATATGATCGACTCGCTGATAAACCACGTTACTATTATTTACTTTCTTTTTTTTTCGTTTATTCTCTTTATATACTACTGGTCTTACCATTGGAGTTTTATATTATAGTTAACTATATAGAAGAAGGAAAAATTAAGGGTAACTTATAGGAAATTAGATAGAAGTAAAAGTAGTAATATAATAGCCTAGCCCGTTTTTAAAAGGCTTATATCTTACTTAAGTAGAAATATAAAAATATCATATTTATATTTATATTCTTAATAAGTTTATTTACAATTATAAGCCATTATTACCTTCTATAATATAACAACAGTAAGCATACGATAGTAAGAGTAGTAGTTCTATAACTCCTTACATAATTATTTGTTATTGACAGTTTAGTAATTTCGTGCCCGATCCGCCCATATCAGTTCTATACGGCGCTATTATTTCAACAAACAATCCTGCCAAGTTCCATAATGGCGAAGCCTATAATCGTATGAAGAATCCCGGGATTCGCAACGAGGGCTTTTAATGCAAGATTTACCACGAAAGAGAGGCATGCATATACGGATGGACATTTGTATAGTGTGTTCAAAAAACAAGCTTTATGAATCACATCCACATTCGCTTAAATCGTCATCCACAAATCTTACCCACTTCAGACGCACCAACCCCACCACAAAGACAATTCAAAAACCACGCCACCAAAAAGGTCTCAAGAGAGCACTACAGTATTTCACTTCCCCTCATCAACTCCCCTGTATGTCTCTGAATTTCATGGGCGAAAAATAAAAAAATGAACTTGTAACAAGGGCCCCTTCCGGGATCGAACCGGAGACCTCACACATTTACTCCCAAACAGGGAACCCAAAGCGTGAATCATACCACTAGACCAAGAGGCCGTACTTGTTATCTTGAAGACGATTTCGGATTCTTTATTTAAATCTCTATACCTTTTTGTCTTTGAGGTTGAGTCAGAAGTAATAGGTAGAGCTGTGCAGTGACTCATACCGGACCAAGCTTTCTGTAGGTGAAAACTCACAAGGAATTCCCGTAGATCTATCACCCAGGAAGTACGGAGGTACATTCACATGAGATCTATATATAATCTCTCAATTTTATTAGTATTTCATTCCCCGGAATATGTGAGCCACGTTGCTGGCCGAAGAAGTGAAAGTTAACATCCCTGCTGGTGCAGCTCAGTGGGATAATAAAGTAATATGTTAAGTACCACAAAGTACGGAAATTTGAATATCAGAGCAAACCAAACATGTCTTATCAACTGAAAATTTCTTGTCTGTTTGGTTCGGAATGCACCTAAGTACAGTTGTATCCATCCATTATGGAAGGATGGGTACCTATCCATAAGGGAAAATGCTGGTCTAGGTGCAGTCTCTACAGATACTCAACAGATGACCAATCAAATTTACTTCTCGTGTGGTGGTTAACCCTTTTTGGCGCTCAGGTGATAGCTAAGCTTTTCAACTATTAAAAAGCGTAAGCTCTTAAGCGAGCTTGGCTCTCAAACACTAATTGGCTACCAACCCCTTAGCTCTTAGTAATACCTTAATAATCATAGGTCTTGTAGCCTACGAAGAGAGTGCACAGCAGTCGGCGAAACTCTACAACACTACGTTATAGCTTGTAGGGGTCCTTTTTGCGCTCGGTATCGCGCGTATGCGATGTACACTAACGCAATAAAATTATAGGTTATAGATTCGATCGATTTAGCCAAAATTATTGCGCGCGTCTGTCCGCCGGCTCTCGTGCGTGGTAGTAGTAGTAATAGTGGTGGTGATAGTAGTGTAGCATTCCCCTGGGCGCCGGGTGCTACTTGGTAGCACGCTAGGAACTCTTAAGACTACGTGGTTTTAACTCTTAAATAGGTAGCCTGAGGCTCAAGAAAAAAAATTAACTATCAAGCGAGACTTGACTCTCAAAAGTGCTTAGCGCTCAAAGGCCCACGTGATTATCTCTCTAGTATTCTTCACACCCTAATTATCAAAGCTTTTTAACCCTCGTCTGACCATCTGTAGAGACTGCACTTGGACCAGGGTTTTCCCTTAAGGATACACCTGAACCATCACGTGACCAAACGTGTGAAAATATTCCAACAAATCCTAAGAACCAACCTCTGAGATACGTAACTAGGTACCAAACATGAAAGCCATAACACAAAACATTCCAGTTCGCTACTTTCAGGTTCAAAATCCTACATTAAGATACCAATAACCCATATCCCCCCAGCCCCCGCCCACCCCCAAACCCCCATAACTACAAACCCCACTCACCCATCAAAATCGCAAGCACAAACCCCATCACACCTCCACTGCGTCGTTCTCCCCATAACCTTTATGCCCAAATCCCATGTCACAAATCCTCTTCTTCCTCTCTTGTTCCCGTACCGCCTCCCGTTTACTCCTGATCTGCCACACAATACTGAATCCCAGGATGAAGAGGAGGATGGCGCCTAGAAAGCCGAAGAGGATGCCTAGTTGGGTCTGGAGGGGGGTGGTCATTGTGTGAGTTGCGGGACGGGTTGTACGGGGGTGGGGATGTGGAGGTGATGGTGGGTAGGCAGTTGATGTCGCGAGGGCTGTTTTCAGCTTTCAGTGACCTTTGGAGTTTTAATGTTTTTTCTGGTAAAGAGAGGCTGGATATGCAGGTTTGTTTTTAGAAGCTTTCGGGGTCGAATTGCGTAGGTATCGTCGGATGTGTAGTGCGATTGTGGTTTTGACGGTATTTGTATGATAGAAGTATTTACAACTCAAAGATTCGACACTCCCAATAGATACCCTCTTCCAAAGAAAGCACTTCCGTCACCGTCTTGCTGGCAGTGATGTAATACAAACTCCTTTGTGCTGCATTGGTGAGAACGCCGCTCGAGGGCTGGGAGGCTGAATGGCCCTGCGTGCGGGGTAACAAAGAACAAAGGGAGTCTCAGATCCAAGAAAACATTACGAAGAAACTGGTGAGGAAGGTATCTTTCAATTACTCATAATATTAGCTATGTATTGGAAACTTTCTACCGAAACTTTTCCTTCAAAAAAAGATTCGCGCCTCAAACACCAATGGTCTTGCCATGTATCATGAGAAAGAAATCAGCCACTACAATCAGCGAGTTTGCTCAATCTCCCTCTCTGAAAGTGCCACAGTCTGCTTCATCTCCTGGAGCCCCCTTGGTCGCCTTCCCACCCTTCTTCTTCGCACTGACGACAGGAGCACGTCGCTGGTTCAAGATGTGTTGCTGCACCCCCTTGCAAACAGTCACAACATAAGCCTGGGTATCAAAAGCCTCGCCATCATAAAGATCTTTCTGTGGTCTGAAATCAAAAGTGTTGTGACAGAAATATGGAAACGCTCGATTGACGGCCGAGATCAAACCCGAAAGCTTGCCAATCTTGTATTTCATTGCCTCGTTCCGTTTCGTGCTGTAGTAGAACTTTCCGGCCATAAGCGGCAACTGGTGATAGCAGATGTCCAGAAATCTATGCTCGAAGCTTTTATGCTTGCAGAACATTATCTTGGGAGCCGGCTTACTGGCTGTCTGGTTGAAATAGGTCATGATTGTAATACCAGTCTCGTCAATGTCGAGTGCGTTGGTGAGCGTTGATACTGCGTATGCAATTCTCGAGGGTTCGTGGCCCGTGAGGAAAGTTTGATTGATGATCTCAGCAGCTACGTCGTCCACCGGGACAACATCTAGCTTGACCGACCGACTGCCGTCAAGAACCTTCAACATGCCTGAGCTCAGCCCAATAACCAACCCCGCAAATGCGGCTGGACTGTCAATCCAGCCAGGAAATGGAAACTTTCGGCTCGCTGATATGATGCTGGGACGCACAATAGTGATGGGCAAGGTTTTGGACCATTCATCGATGTAATGTTCCGCCATACACTTGGTCAAAGTGTAGGTATTCTCGTGACCGGTGAGCTTGAGGATTTCGCTCTCACTTATCTTGCCCTCCTTGATAATCTGCTTGAGTTTATCGACTGGCAAAGGCAGGGGGGCAAGTTCCTCTCCGATGGGGTCTCTTGTGTGTGGTGTGACGTATGCAGTGCTAGTCATCAACAATCTCTCCAATCTCCTGCATTTATCTGCCAAGAGGCAAACATTGACTGTACCTCCAATATTCGATTTCATTGCATCTTTGATGGGATTGTCAAATTTAATGGACGCTGCGCAGTGTATGATATGTGTGACATCTCGGCAGATCTCCCGATATAATTCTGGCCGCATACCACATTTATCCTTCGTGACATCTCCTTCAACAATTTGGACCTGGTCCATCCAGCTGGGCGACAGATTTGAAAAACATGGCGAAGTTGCGACCGTATTTCGAAATCTCGCTTGCGGATCTTGGCCCCGTTTTCCCCTGGCTAACAAAACAATACGATCGAAAGGGAACTCCGACTGTCGACGAAACAGAGCTTCAATGACAAGTTTCCCAAGGAATCCGGTGCCTCCCGTGATGAGAATCGTAGATGGCAATATATTCTTTGGTGGTGTTGGTGGCGGAGAAGGTGGTATAACCCTGTGCTGGAATCTAGTTAAGTTTTCGTAAGGGGACGCTCGAAAATCATCGGAACCATCGCGGATATCTAGAGACAACATTGAGTCTCGGTTTTGTTGAAACCCCCGGAACATTGACCCAGGAAAAATGTCGAAAGCCCGCGACTGTAATCTGCTTGTCGGTTGGAAAGAGAGTGGGCTGGAGGTTCTGTGACCCTGAAAGAAGGGCAGAGGATTCAACAATATGGAAATGGATAGGTTGTCGACCGAATGTGAATTATGGGTAGAATGGATGTTCTCTTGTAGGCTACTTGAAAGGAATAACACCCTTCCAGAAGAGAAGCGGGGCTGTCGACCCTCAAAGGAAACGAAGGAGGGGGGCTGTAAGCTGCAATGATTTATGTTATCAGCTGGAAGTAACAATCCGAAGATTGGATAGATATGTAAGTCTAGATTCTGCTTCATACAGAAGAGATCGACTTGATCCACCTTCATGTGATACTCCGCACTCCTCCCGCAGTCCGGCTGTACCTGACATGATGACTATTGACAAGCCACAAGTATGCACTGTTGAAGTAAGCCGGGAGGTGCCCGTGGGTAAACATTGGCCAGAGCAACTCGTAAACTTGAGCTGGGAGGTTCGAGGCCACCTTTCGGATTGGATGGAAGAGGTGGTAGAATATTTCCAGGAACTTTCAAACCAGAGTTGCTTAGGTGTGCTTGTCTATGCTATTTTTTGGCTTGTTGCGTGTATGGCATACCACCCGTCCCAACGAAATGAGCAGCTTCTCTCTTCAACTTTTACCTAGCTTAGGCGAGTCCCAACCGATACTCCAGAGGTTGATCTCATTCTCTCGCCTCAGCATTTCCAATGGTCAGCCAAATAGGCGGGAAGGGGGCCCTGAGGTGGGGGCTGAGGGGCCCGATCGTCTATAGTCGATTTCTTGGATAACTAAATCTGGAAATCTTGTGACCGATTCAGCTGAATCGCTTGAAGGTACCGAGTCCGCGGTTTCCCCAAACCAAGCTGCGTATAGAACCGCAGGTAACATTTCTATACCAATTACAAAAGGTATCAATTGCCCAGCAGAACTGATTTCTGCAACACCGTTTATTCCATTCCAAAAGCTGGTCAGCTCAGTTGCGATTAGAACTACAGTCGCAACACATATATTGCAAATAGTCCTAATTATCCGCAAAACGAATTTCCGGTCAGGTCTAACACATGTCAGCATCCGTTGAAATGTATCTTGGGTTGGTGGATACTTGCGGTATTTTCACATTGGATCGTTCCTCCCAAAAACCAATATGTTTGTTCAAGGCGAGAGCAAGTAACGCAAGGGAGAAGCAGAGTAGGGCGATATGGAATGCCATATTGCCAACCACAAATGAAGTGAGGTCTAATCGTACCCTCCAGAAGGGAAACCCGTACCGAGGACACCCGACAAACTCTACTCTCTTCGCCTCCATAACCCAGAACCATAGCTGGAAGCCCGATACAGCTAACAGTAGTGTGAAATTGAGCGCGCTATACAGTTTCCCCATCCTCACTTGCGGATACCGGGTCGGACCCCAATGTGCTCTGAAGCCTGTCAAAACTCGCCACAGAAAAACCGGTACCAGATACAGATATCCTCCAAATGTAAGCAGTAATGTAATGTAGATCTCAACGGGTCGGATGGTTCCTTTGGTAGTGTGAAGGATTAGGGCGAGAAATGTGGCAAACACAAACATCAAGTTGGATATCCGTAATGAAGGAACTTCTGATTTAGTTATCCAGGATGCAAGTATACTACCATACCATTGGAGGTAGAATCCGGCCCTGATGCCGAGTCCGTACATGTCAGAATTACCGGCAAATCCACATGTTTCTTCCATCTTGCGGAAGTTTCGCTATGATAATCTGATGACAGGGTGGAAAAGTAAGCGAGACAGCATCGCAATCGTGGCTAATTTCTAGTGTAAAATCTTACTCCAAGATGTGGCAGCAAATATGTTTATACATCTTTGATTTTCGATGCAGATGACCTGGGTTCCAAGCGATTCCCGATAATACTTGACGAAAGAATTCGAGGTCAACCAGTGCGACTCATGGCGAGTCATGTGTGCTGGTGTGCCACAACGGTCAGGTGTGAATCCCTCGTGGTGTTTTACTCGGCTGCATATATCCCATATTTGGCAATAAAAGAATGGATTTTCTGTTTTGCTTATTAGTATGCGGCCTGATGTCAGTATTGTTACCTCATGCGGTGTCTCCTAGATACTTTGCCAAACGCCTGTAAAGAAAAGCGGTGGCTAGATGAGTCTTCAAATCTCCCTATGCGTAAAGGCGAAACATGTTATTTGGGTCCAGAAAAACTGGGAATTTGGCATATGGATGCATGTACTGCGGCTCCTCCCGAGTTCTTACTGTAATGTAGATCACATGCAGAAGAAGTCACCGGCGATCAGAATGAGCGAGCCGTAGCTGGGTGACTAAACTGTACCTTGCCCCATGCGCTGCAGCAACTAATCACCGCACGTAGATGTCATTTACAAACAATTGGATGAGATTTTCGGATTGGCTTTCAGTGTAATGAAACTCGATACATGGGGCTTGATGAAGTCGATGGTGTTATGATGGACAATAATGGAAGAGGATGGTCGGCAGTTGGGGAAAAGCGGTGGAATCCTGACCAACCTGCTGCCTTGCATTTAAGATTACAGATACCATGCACATGATATATTTCTTGAAACGCAAGTTTGGAGTGACTAGATAATTCAGAATGAAAAATCGAAACAAAGTTTAATCATTTTCTATTATTATATTAGAAAATAGGAGTCCCGTAATGCAAATAATATAACCCAACTGAGCCTAACTTATTTATCACGTGATTCACATTGATGGAGCTGTAAAGCTTTCTCTCTAGAGTGTATCAAAATCCTGCTTCTACCACAGATAGAAGAACAATATTTAATCAACAAACTCACGCTAATATAACTGTTAACATGTGGCGTTCATAGAAAGTGCCACGTACCTCACAAAAGTTGACTGGATCCACCCAATCTCAGTGTGGTTATCAAATCATAGGGTGTGTACAAAGGGTTGCTCAAACATCGTCCCAGACTTGAGTTATGAGTTTAAGACAACAGGAAAATGGATTACCAAGATCTCAACTTGGTATACCTGAATCCCAGCGTTCCACATCAATTGTTTATCTCATATCATACCTGCACAAGATGGTATAGGTAATAGCATCGCCAAAGGACATGGGAATTTGCTACTATCAATCTCTATGGAATTTTCTATGTACGGTAACTTGCGATTGCCGACTTTATATCGTCACTCAGATTGAAGATTTGAAAGCATGATCCCCTTCTTCACAAAGCTTCCTGCCTTATTGGAATCATTCAAAACCCCAGAGTATGATCTTACATTTAGAGAGCACGAGTCAGTCGATGCTCGCAAGCTCGCATTATCGCCTGTCTCTACCTTATTAAGTGGGCTTTAATTAGAACCTTATTAAGTATTATATAATTATAACCTTATTTAGTATTTTTTAATTAAGACCTTATTAAGTATTATATAATTAGAACCGTATTAAGTATCTTTAAATCAAGACCTTATTTAATATACTTTTATTTAAACCCTAGTAAGTGGCTATCTATTATAAAGTCTTTTTATATACTTATATTACAAGGTTAATTTCAACCTTGAAGACCTTGAGCAAATACACCACTTCCACTTCCCTCCATGGGAAAGAGAAACTCTTTACAAGGTTCACATTAGCAAACTTTCAAAAGAAGAGGAAACTAAATTTCACCTTCGTCTACTCCAAAACAACTCAGATAACAGCATTTTCATCTACACAGATGCATCCTCTACAACAACAGAAAATAGCCAAGGAATTGGGGTAGGTTTGTCTGTAATCTCACCTCAATCAAACAGAATCCACTACGAAAAGAAAGTCAACATTGGACCAAACAAGCTCGTCTACAACGGTGAAGTTGAAGGGGCCACGCTAGCAGTTGAATACGCTGCCAAGCACGCTAGACCAGGGATCCATTTCCACATCTACTCCGACAACCAGGCAGGTTTACGGAGGCTAAAAACCACATCAGATAACCCAGGGCAAGAGTGCCAAATCAGAGCTATCACAGCTGCCCGGAAGGCAGTTAGCAAGGGAGCTACTACCACAATTCACTGGGTACCAGGTCACACCGACATTCCAGGAAATGAGAAAGCAGACAAGCTTGCAAAAGCCGCCACCACAATCCAACCATCCACTCAACTCACTAGCTTTGCTATGCTAGGAGTCAAGATCAGGCAGACCCAGAACAAAGAATGGCGTCAAAAGCTTACTACACCCCCCCGGCACACAGAACCATCAACTAACCAACACTCGTATCGAAGGGAATTCCCATGGAAGATTCTGTCGAAACCTTGCGTCCCCCAAGGAACAAAAAGAGAGATAGCCAGCGCCTTTTATCAGCTTAAGCTAGGCCATGGATACTTCAAATCATACCTACACAAGCTCGGCCACACTACCAACAACCGCTGTAGATGTGGAAGACAAGAGACTCCCACTCACCTCCTTCTTAGCTGTCCAGAAACTGGGGATGCTAGGAAAGTACTAAAGCGCAACCTCCTCAAGCATCATATTCGAGAGTTCACCATGAAATCCCTCCTTCACACCGCCAAAGGAGTCGAGGCCACACTTGACTTTATTCGAACCACCAAAATCGCCACTAGAATATGGCACACACAACGCGCAACTGAGGATGAGAACGAAGATGAGGACGAGGAGGACGAGGACGAGGAAGACGAGAACGAGGAAGTGTAGTGTACAGGGCGTGAAACGCGGGGGCGTACTACAGCATAACAACTTTTCTTCTGTTATAACCAGAAGCCTAGCTGCTTCCAACAACCCAAGAACTGTATTCACCATAACCCCCTTCTCAAACATGTATTTAGTACAGCTTTACTCATCTGTTGGAGGGAAACCCCCAGCCGTGCTACTATTGTGACGACACGTACGCAAGGCCCACGTTGTAGGTTGTGGAATCGTAGAACTGTCAATTAAACAAAGATTCTAAGCTGAGGAGAAGAGGAGAGCTCGAGAGAGCTTCGATCTAAATACTTGGTGTGGGTCGCTAAGCGAGACCACGTGATCCGAATGGTGGTGACGGTTAGAACCGTCACAACTATAGTCTCAGACTCACACAGCACGTTAAAAGGAATAATAATAATAATAATAATACAAGGTTAATTTAAGTTTAGTATTAATATAACTATATTAAATAACTCTAAGTAATATCTTTTTAAGTAAATAATAATTATTAACTTATAACTTATTTAAAATATATTTAAGTTAACTTAAGTATATAACTACTAAGATTATTTTAAAGATTAATATAGTAGTTCGTACCTATAATAGTTATAATATAACGTAAGTTATTATAGATAAATATTTATTTAGGCAGGTATAAGTAGATAAATAGTTAGGTAAATAGTTATAGCCTAGTAAATCAGGCGAGATTAGGCTACTATCCTCCTCC